AGTAAAAGAACTTAAATAATTTTTTTAAAGAAAAGTGTAGGATAAATTGGGCATACCTAACATTTCTAAAAGAATAATATATATATAATTTTCATAGATCAATACTGAATTATAAGGGTTCCTTTTCATTGTAAATTAAGTTTTTATCACAAGAATCCTTATAATTAAAAGAAATAATTTTACATATACTCTGTGTTCATTAAACTATAGTTCCCCTGTCAAGAGAATACTCTTATCATTATGATGAGTTTAATGTGATAAAATGTTAGTTATATATCCCCTCTATGTGTTCAAGACACCTGGATCTGTGTTCCCTTTCACTGATATTCTTTGAGCAAAGTGTTTGGTTGGGAGGATTTGTAGTTGCTCCACACTGGAAGACAAATTTTTAATGGTAAATGAAAACTGAAGTGTCACATACATCTCTCATCAAATGAAGAGCAGATGAACAAGGAAGAGAAAACGAATCCTTCTGTGTCCCTCTAATCTCAGGATCAGTGTTGTGTGCTCTGACAAACGTGCTGATTGTTCAGCTCCACGTACTAATTTTATAGTGACAAAACCAAGTTCACAAGGGCTCTTCATTTTTTTTGTTTGTTTTGCTTGGTTTTTTTAACACAATATTTTATGACATTTTTTGTAATTAGCCGACCTCTTATCTGTCCCACTCCCTTTCTTTTTAAACAAGATTTATTTTACTTTTAATTAAATGTATATATGTGTGTGTGTGTGTGTGTGTGTGTGTGTGTGTGTGTGTGTGTGTCCATGTGTGAGTACATGTATGAGTGATGGTACCTTGGAGTCTACAAGAGAGAACTGAATCTGCTGATCCTACAGGTATAGGAGATTGTGAGCTATCTTTCATGGTTACTGGGAACGGAAGTCAGGTCCTTGGGAAGAGCAGCCAGTGCTCTTAACTGTGAGCCATCTTTTCAGTCCCCATCTTTCCTCTTTCTGATGAGTGAATACTACACTATTGAACTCAGGTACAGATGAAAATCATGGTCTGTTACTATCATCGGCCCTGGAAGTTATTCAGTCTTTTTAAAAACTGTATTTATTACTAGTTGTGCTGGATAGTTTTATGTCAACCTGACACAAACTGAAGTCATTTTAGAGGAGGGAGCCTCCATTACAAAATATGCCCCTATAAGATCAGGTTGTAGGCAAGCCTGTAGGGCATTTTCTTAGTTAGTGATTGATGGCAGAGGGCATAGCCCATTGTGAGTGGTGACATCCCTGGGCTGGTTGTCCTTGATTCTATAAGAAAGCAGGCTGAACAAGCCAGTAAGTAGCACCTCTCCATGACCTCTGCATCAGCTCCTGCCTGCATGTTCCTGCCCTATTTGAGTTCCTGTCCTGGCTTCTTTCAGTGATGGACTGCAAAATGGAAGTGTAAGCCAAATAAACCCTTTCCCCATCCTAACTAAGACACCAGTGTGTGTGTGTTTGTGTGTGTGTGTGTGTGTGTGCGTGTGTGTGTGTGTATATATGCATATATATATATATATGTGCATATATGCACATGAAGTGTATGGTATGGAGGGTTGGGTGCCATGGCATACAGGTGGAGGCCAGAGGACATCTTTTGAAGTTGGTTCTCTCCTTCCACCTTTATGTGTGCTCCAGGATTTAGCTCAGGTCGCCAGACTTGCAGCAAGTGCCTTTACACAATTATCCACCTCCTGGACTAAAACTGACCCCTGTTTGCCTTTCCTCTCTCTTCCACAACATATCCTCCAAAATATTTTGTTTTGTTTACTTCAGGATTCACCTTTCACATCTTGCTCACCTCAGGAAAAAGGAATGTGGTGGTATTGGGTTCCCCAAAATATTGTGCACTCTAATAAACTTATCTGGGGTCAGAGACAGAACAGCTACAATATTAAACATAGAGGATAGACAGTGGTAGCAATGCCTTTAATCCTAGCATTCCAGAGGCAGAGATCTACCTGGATCTCTGTGTGTTCAAGGATACAGCCAAGCATGGTGACTCACACCTTTAATCCCAGAAAGTGAGACTTTAATCCCAGGGAGTGTGATGGTAGAAGGCAGAAAGATATATAAGGCGTGAAGACCAGAAACTGAACTTTTTAGCTGGTTAAGCTTTCAGGCTTTGGAGCAGCAGTTCAGTTGAGATTCATTCTGGATGAGGACTGAAAGGCTTCCAGTCTGAGGAAACAGGATCAGCTGAGGAACTGGCGAGGTGAAGTAGCTGTGGCTTGTTCTGCTTCTCTGATCTTCTAGCATTCACCACAATAACTGGCCCTGGGTTTGTTTTTATGAATAAGAACTGTTAAGATTCCTGCTACAAAGGAAAGCATTGTAGTCTAGGCAGGCTGACTTTTATTTGCACCCTTGGCATCATTTTTAGAGGACCCAGTGACCCAGTGACTTCCTCCTTATAAAGAATAAGGATGAAGAAAAATTCTTTATCATATGTTATCACTTTCCCAAACATTTTCTGTCCCTGACAAAGTAGAACTAAATCTTCTTCTCAGAAGCAAGCAAACACATTGATTAATGTTTACCTTTGCTTCCTAGAGCTCTGACAGTCCATGGACTAATTCACGCAGGACCCCGTTGCCCCCTCTCCTCAGCTCTTGTGTGGCACCAGCCTAGCATAGGTATTCAGGCATCATGGGAAATTTACTTTTATCCTCATCCCTATAAATCACTGTTTTTATGTTTCTGGTTCCATTTTTACTTCTGAGCTTTTACTTTTTCTTCTAAGTTTTATTCTACTTGTTTATATGCCCAATTTACTGAGTTCTTGGCTTCTCTTCACCTGTTTTAAAAGGGTAACCCCAATCTCCTAAACTTTTTATCTCGAATGTATGTTTTGATTTTAATGAGAAATGTCCTTCACAGGCTCATGTGTTGAATACTTTCCCCCCAGCTGGTGACACCATTTTGGAAGGTTGTATAGACTTCAGAAGTGGGAGTGAATGGAGGAAGAAAGCCCCCAGAAAAGTGCTTCTGGAAGCTATACCTAATTCTTCAACCTGCTGTCAGCCATGAACTGCCAATCAGCATGCAGCTGGTTATCTGCCTCTGTGGTTTTTCTAAGAACTAGGGTATCTTCACCTGCGGTGAGCAAGTGGTTGTCACACAGCAGTGGAAACCTTTAGAGTCACTGGGGCACAGTACCAACTGCCTGATAGTGAAAATAACTAGCTCCTGGCCTGAATGTATTCAAAAGTATTCTTTTTCATGCAACAGTCATTACATTGCATTACATGAGCATTTCCTAACCTATTACAGCCTCTTAAGTATACTTTCACTGAAATAAGTTGATATAAAGTTCTACATGTAAAAGCGTACAATTCTGTGGCTTTCTGCATGTTTATAAGGCTGAACACACATGACCTCTAGCTAACTTTATAAAATTTTGCTGACTGTGTTGCTATTTTCTCTGCATTGAAACATTTAAGGCTTATCAGGAAAAAAGCAAAATACATAAGGCTCAGCAAGCACTTGAAACTTACAAGGCCTGGGGAGCTCAGAAAGTTGCCTGATTTATAAGGGCCCTTCTCACAGGTTATAAAAGCAGTAGACACTTGGCCAGTTGAAGAAATTGTCCAATGTAGATTCCTGCATGCTGTGCAGGGAGCTACATAGGCAGCGCTTTCATGAGGCTTTTCTTGTATGTGTTTGGACTTTCCAGTGACGCAACTGCCTTTGAGCATCCATGTTACTGTAAGTAACTCAATAAAGGCATTAGTTCACTAAACTAGACTTAGATACAATGGTTTCCCTAGTTTGTTGTTGGTGTTCTGAGATAGGAAGATGGTTATTTATGCCTCCATGGCAAAAGTCACACAACACAAATGGTACCTGAAAAAAAAGACTCAAAAAACCGAAGTTGAACACAGGAGGAGTGGCTGCATTGGTTCTGAAATGGGTGGAGCATCCACAGAGTCAATCCTGGGGTGGCTTTGTTTACCCACGGGATAGCATGTGTCCTTGCCGTAGTGCTGATTGCTTGTCCCTGTGGTGAGTGGCAAGACGTGCAGCCTTGCCAAAGTCATCCTAGAGTAGAGTACTCTCTGGGGGATTCTCAGGGTGTCTGTCTTTCTGTCTATGTTATGGGAGAGTACTCTGAGTTCTTGATGAATGTAGTTTGCCATCTAAGTATGCTAATGCCACCCAAATGAAGTATGGGTTAGGAAATATATTGCAATCCCTAGTAGTGTATAAGGTATAGAATTGTAAGTAGGTTGTGGTGGCAGTTGTGTGGCTTCTGTTATGTGTGACAAGACATGTAACTGAGGTGTTGAGCTTTGATTTGATGGAAAAAGTCTAAAAAGGAAGAAGATGGAGATGTTGGTTTGTTATTTCTTACAGCTGGCAGGATCCAAGGGGCAGAGAGTAGGTACTGGATCTGTTAGAACATAGAGCATTTTGGGGTTCCAAAAACATGCAACTCATGAGAAAACTCAGACAACATGGGGGAAGAAAGAAAGAAAAGTGATGGAAAATACTCTGTTCATACATCTATATGTTCATACCTCTATAATCCATGCTGACACTGGCATTGCTCTTTGAACAAAACAACTGTTGGAAACAAGTTTTAGAATAGTTTATTGGACTTTGCTAGTCTTTGCTAGTCTTCCCTTAGCCATCCAAGACCAATGGTACTTGCTTGGAGCAGAGAGTGGGGGATCTCTAGGGATCCTCCTGCCCATCCTTTATAAGAAGGGTTACTCATTATATATATAATACCAACCCTACAGTGTCTTGCAGATCTGAAAAAGGTAGTTTATCATATATAAAAACAGTAGTTAAAGAGTTTAAGTGAAAGTGCCCAGTGTGAGTGAAAAAAAAAGCAATCAAAGAAAGTCATTAAAGTTTGGGTGAAATTCTCAATGCCAGGAGTGAACTGCCTTCCTACGGTTTTTGGACATTTTGTGTGAGAGATTTTACTGTGGATAACTAACACACATGTTCACTCACCCCAGATAGGGAAGCCGTAAAAGACCACAATAACCACCAAAGTCCAACTTGGTGAAACAGTGAGTTTTTATTGGAGTTACTAACAGAAGTATTGGCGAGGGATTTCTTATAGGAGAAGATGTGACTCAATCTCACCCCAGCAGAGGTGAGGACTGGGGAAAGCTGCAGCTCTGGATCTCTCTGTAGGACTTGCCAGTCTCTAACAGGTCTGGGAAATCTCCTTTGGGCAGCTTGGTAGTCAAGAGTCGTCTTGTCCAGAAGTCATTTGCTGCTTCTAAAAGCTGAACAAGGGCCATTCAGAACCTTGCAAGTTTCAGCTTTCCCAGACATGGGAAGTTTGTTTATCTACTGAGTTTCATGATTCTCCCTGTCCACTTTGATCCTGGAAGGAATATTTCAATTTAAGGGAAACTTCTATACGAGACTAACTTGTAGTAGCTACTCATGTCATCACCCAATAAGGATAATTTGACCTTTTCCTTTCCTACTTTATCGCCTTCATATCTTTCTCTGTCTAATTGGTGTAACTAAGACCTCAAGCACTGTACTGACTAAGAGATGGAAGAATGATCATACTTGTCTTATTCCTAATAAGAGAGAAAGTATGAGTTTGTCTCCATTTGGTATAATGTTGTTTATGGGTTTGTTGTATATAACACTTACTATAATGGGTCTCTATGGTAGGTACATCATCTATTTGAAAAGGAAAATGCCTCTTCTATGACTGGTTGAGGCTGACAGCAACAGTGATCTAAGTGTGCAACACAAATGTTTAGAAGGCACTTTGACACACATATCACATCCAGTTAACAAAACAATAGCTGTGGCTTTCCCAGCCGGGCCTGTGCCCTCCCTAGGCACAGGTTTTTGTTCTGATTTGCAGTAGAAGACATGAACTACCTCTTTTGGAATGGGGCTTAAGTTGATTGCACCCATGATAATGGTGCCACTATAGCACAAGCAGGCAAATCCTGCCTGACATTTCAATTCTGTAACACACAGGTAGTCAAGCAGAACTGTTTGTGACACTTCTCTCTAGCACCTGATAGATCTTTGTGCTGTTTCTACATTTTTACTATTATGAATCATGTGAATATTTTTGTATAATTTTGTGCACACATGATTTGAATTGTCTTGAGTATGTATGTATGTATGTATGTATGTATGTATGTAGAAGTGGAATTTCTAAGTCTATAGTAACTCTATGTTTAAATGTTGAAGGACCTGACAAACTCTTTTCCAAATGTGTACCATTTTACATTCCTAATAGTTCAAATTACTCAAAATTACTGCCATTGCATATTATAATTATTTAAAGTTATTTGTTCCCAGTGTGAAATGGTGCCTTACTGTTGTTTTGATTTGTATTTATACGTGGAGTAATGATGCCCAGCAACCTTTAAGGTTGATTAGCATCTATACTTATTTTCTTTACATTTTTCTATGTTTATATAATTGTGATGTGAATGTGAAATGTCCCTCCCACAGGATCAAGTTTTGAATGGTCATTAAGCTTGTGGTACTATTTGGAAAACCACTGAGCTTTATGAGTGGGATAGAAGAAGTAGACTACAAGGTGTGGTCTTTAAAGTCTTTTTAGCAGCCTCTTGTTCTGGCCTGATGTCTGTCATAGAGTGAACACTTTTCTTTATCAGACACTCCCACCACCAGAAACTCCAGCATACCTTTCTCATGTTGAGTGTCTGCAACTTCAGAAACCACCAGCAAAAGAGATCATTCCACACTTAACATTTTGTCAGGAACTGTGGTCATATTGAGGAGAGTCAGTCCATGGAAATATATCCATTCCAATCTCACATACATAGTCATAAAATCTGAGTCATCTTTTATTGCTTATTTGTAAATTCTTTATGTTCTTGATATGGAATTCTTATCATATAGAACTCATATGACTTTCAAATCTTCTCTCCCATTCTGCAGGCAATCTCTTCATTCTCTTAAGTCTGTTATTTCTTGATGGTGCTTTAATTAAATGAGGACTTTGGTTGTCGTTTTAGACCTGTTTTCCACACTAGGATGTTCTCAGATCACAGAGTGGTTCTTTTCTCACGGACTACAGGCATTGTCTCTCTTACTGACATATGGACACTGTCTCTCACACATGACACTTGTGCCTTCTTTGGGATTTACTTTCTAGCGGATCACGGCTCTTCTTTTTATCTATGAGATATATTGCCTTTATAAAACTTCCATTGTCCTACTTTGCAATCATGATGTGGCTCGGTATCTTTTTGATCATAGTATCACAATGGGAACTGTAATTATTTTGTATTCTTACAAAATAAAATTTATATCTATCAGATATATTAGTCTGAGTCCTTTAAAGGAACAGAACTGATAGAATTACACACACATACATACTGACACACACACACACACACACACACACACACACACACACATATATATATATATATATATTCTAATGAATCCCATATATATGTATGGTCTCAGCTGGTGTTCAGAATTCACTGGAATCCTGAAGAAGTGGGTTCTAATACCAGTGGAGGAATGAATGCTTCTCAGCAGGATATATGAAGGTTGCCAGAATGAGGACAAGCAGGCAAAATTCAAAAGCCTCTTTCTTCCATGTCCTTTATACAGGCTGCCACAAAAAGGTATGGCCAAGACTGAGGGTGGGCTTCCCAGCTCAAATGATCCATCCCCGTCCCCCCCAAAAAATATCCCTCATGGGTTTGCCCAGCAGTTTGGGTTTTTACTTAATTCCAGATGTAGACAAACAAGAATAGCCATCCCACCAGCTTAATACTAAAAAAGAAGCTCAAAATTATCCAGGAACAGTGTTATTGTTACTTTTGGCTTCTTTTTGAGGTATATTTGGAAATGTCTGAGTAGGCTTCCACACCACCCCTCAAATGCCCTTCAATTCTAGTTGTCTCTCCCCTCATTCCCTCCCTTAGTCCCAAACCTCTTCCCCCTTCCCATCTAGTGCAGTGGAGCTTTCCCACAACATATTAAGGTGATCCTAGTGAAGTCTCCAAATAACGAGGGAGATATAACTCCCACTGTCCATCTCTTGCCACCAAACGAAGCTTCCAGTACTGGGACCAAGTTTTATCCAATTCAGTTGTTTGTTGAAAGGCTCTTATGAAAATCCCCAAACAACTCCTACTGTTGCCACAACAATAAACTGCTCCCCACAAATGACTAGCAAGGCCCTGTTGCTGAAGACAACACCCACACGATTCATTGAACCTGCAGAGGTCAAGCTGGTGCTTACATAGAACCTTCATCCCAATGTTCTAGTGTCTATAACATGGAAAGGTACTCTGTAAGCTACCAAAAGAGAAATGTACACACCAACTTAACCATAAACTCTTTGATCCACAATGCTGTTCTGCCTGCAAAATATGCTAGGGCAATGGTGGCACAAAGCTTGTGGGAGTAACCATCCAATGTATGATTTGACTTAAGGCCCACTCCACGAGATGGAAACCATACTGCAACACTGCTTGGGTGATCAAGAACCAGAGACTAGATGGCCCAGAGACCTTCCTCTGCCATCATGGACTCTGATTCCCAGAAACCGGAAGTCTAAATGAAACACTTTCTTTGATGAGTTGCCTTGGTCATGGTGTCATCTCACAACTGAAAAGTAACTAATACAATCACTGCCTTAGTTAGTTAGGTTCCTATTGCTGTGATAAGACTCCATGACTATGAGCAACCCATCATCCTAACAACCTGGCGAGAAAAGGATTTATTCTATTTCCACTTTCACATCACAGTCTATCATCAAAGAAAGTTAGGTCAAGAATGCAAGATTGGAATCTGGAAGCAGGTCTGAAGTAGATGCCATGGAGGAATGCTGCTTCCTGGTTTTCTCCTTGTGGTTTGTTCAGCCTGCTTTGTTAGAGCACAGGATGGCACTGTGCACAAGTTGACCCCTCCCACATCAATCACTAATTATGAAAATGCCCTACAGGTCTGCCTACAGCCAGATTTTGAAGATTTTTTTTTCATTTTACATACCAAACTCAGTTCCCCTTCCTTTTCCTCCCGCCCCTCCCCTTCTTCTTTCCCTCCCATCCACTCCTCAGGGAGGGTAAGGCCCCCCCATGGGGAGTCAACGAAGTCTGGCATATCAAGTTGAGGCAGAACCATGCCCCTCCCTGCTGCATCAAGGCTGAGCAAGGTATCCTTCCATAGAGAATGGGCTCCAAAAAGCCAGATCATGCACTAGAGATAAACCTTGATCTCACTGCCAGGGGCCCCACAAACTGCCCAAGCCCCACAACTGTCACCCACATCACATTCAGAGGGCCTAGTTTGGTCCTATACAGATTCCCCGGCTGTCAGTCTAGAGTCTGTGAGCTCCCACTAACTTCCGTCAGCTGTCTCTGTGGGTTTTCCCCATCATGATTTTGACCCCCTTGCTCTTATAATCTCTCCTCTCTCTTTTTGACTGGACTTTGAGAGTGCTTAGCTGTGGATCTCTGCATCTGCTTCCATCAGTTACTGGATGAAGGTTCTATGATGACAATTAGGGTAGCCATCAATCTGATTACAGGGAAGGCCAGTTCAGGCATTCTCTCCACTACTGCTTGGAATCTTAGCTGGGGTCATCCTTGTGGATTCCTGGGAATTTCCCTAGCACCAGGTTTTACCCTAACCCCATAATGGCTCCCTCTATCTAGATAGTTCTTTCCTTGCTCTCCCTCTCTGTCCCTCCCCAAACTCAACCATCCCACTATCTCATATTCTCATCCCTGCCCCTTCTTAACCCCCTGCCCCCGAGTTCCCAATTGCCCCTCTTGGGGTCCTCGTTAGCTAGTTTCTCTGGGGTTGTGGATTGTAGCATGGTTATCCTTTGCTTTATGTCTAATATCCACTTATGATTGAGTACATACCACTGTGTTTGTCTTTCCGGGTCTAGGTTACCTCACTCAGGATTTTTTTTTTCTAGTTTCATCTATTTGCCTGCAAATTTCACGATGTCATTGTTTTTTTATCATTAAGTAATACCCCATTGTGTAAATGTACCACTTTTTTTTTTAATCCACTCTTCAGTTGAGGGGCATCTAGGTTGTTTCCAGGTTCTGGCTATTATGAATAATGATGCTATGAACAGAGTTGAGCAAATGTCCTTGTCGTATGATTGTGCATCCTTTGGGTATATGTCCAAGAGTAGTATCATTGGGTCTTGAGGTAGATTAATTTCCAATTTTCTGAGAAACCACCATACTGATTTCCAAAGTGTACAACCAGCTGTCAAGGAGGTATTTTCTCAATTGAACATCTGTCTTCTAAAATTGCTCTAGTTTGTCAAGTTGACACAAAAAACAACCCGCATACTCACCAACACTCGATATAGTGTCTGTGTATGTTCTGTTATAATATAATAATATAGTGTGCATATATTCTAGTATTATAATAGAATGAAACTAAATATAAAGATCTCTGTGCTTATCTTTTAATGAAGTGTCTTTTCCAGTGTTTTCTTACTTTATACTCTATAGCTCTACATATTTTACCATTTTTATTAGCTTTCCTTATGACATTCTAGATGTAGTTTCTTTGTCTGATACATATTTCAACTGCCTTCTTTTTCTAATCCATGGATTGTCCTTTGGGAAAAAAGTTAAAACTCTTGATGGTCTAGGCTGGAGAAATGGATCAGAGGCTAAGAGCACTTGCTGCTCTTGCAGAAGACTGTAGTCCAGTTTGCATGTGAAGCACGTCACAACTGTCTGTAACTCCAGCTCTGGGGAATCTAGTGCCCTCTTCTGGCCTCCACATGCAGCTACATTCATATGCACATACCCACACAGGCACATAGGCATACCTATAATTAAAGAATGTTCATGGACACCTAGGTTGTTTCTACATATTGATACCACTAATAGTTCTTTACATAACAATGATGTGCAAGTGTCTATGTGACGTGTTGATTTGGATCCATTGAGTAATTACTCTGGCATGGAATAGCTGGGGAATATGGTAGATTTAATTTTAGTGTTTTGAGGAACCACCATACTGGGTTCCATACTGGTTGACTAGTTTACATTTCCACCATCATTATATAAAGTTATCTATATATAAAGGAACATGTCATCTGTAGGAAAGTGGATGAAAGTGGGTATTAAGTCAAGCTCAGACACATATTATATGTCTTCTCTCATTTGTGGTTCCTAGATTTCAAATAAACTTATAAAGTCATCTATACACATGACATGAAAGTAGAAACAAACTGTTTATGGAACAAAGGCAGTAATAGGAAGAGGGATGCTTGGATTATACTCATTACAGATTAACTCTGAGTCACCAATAATGCATCAGCGTCATACTAAGGAAAGATATGGGAGCACTTCTCCCTGGAGTCATTTAACCAAGAGTGAGTCCAGATTTGAATTCTCTGTCTCATGTTCTCTGTGTCTTCCATCCTGTCTGTTGTGAGTCTGACTCTGTGTCTGCCTAAAGGCCATCTTGTGAATCTGTTTGTCCTTTTGTGTCTGTCTGTGCTATGCACCTGTCCCTAACAAAGGACTTTGCTCTGTATTTATTGAATGGCATAGGAAGCATCACGTGGGGGAATAGGACACTTTACAGAAAACTTTAACAGAGTTTTACAAGGGATTAAGTCACTGGTTTCAATAGATCTCAAATGACCCAGATAACGAACATCGTTGTTTGTCAAGCAATATCCATAAATGGTTGTTTTCATCCTTTCTGGTAGGGAGATGCTTTTAATTTCTGTATTTGCTGCTTTCAGCAAATGATGTACATGTATGATTCTGGGTCACGGGTATGGAAGAGTAAGATTATGGCTATACATTAGCTTAGGTTGTAAAAGTTGATTACATGGGAAAGTCAAGGCAAGTAAGGTTAGTTTTTAGATTGTTCTCTTAAAGGAAGGTGAAACAAATAGCTTGAGTACTCAGTAGACTAGCAATTTTAAGCAACTTCAAGGTACATTATTAACTCTGGCTGTGAGGTCCAGCAAAAGTTCCAGTCTCTTAGAATGTAAAAGATACTTTCAGAATATTGTACTGCCACAGGGGAAGAGGGAAGAAAGGGGAGAGTATGGAAGCATTAGTAGGAATATGCTCAAAGTACTTTATATATTTTAGGAGCATATGCTTATGTATTCCAATGCCATATACTATGTATATATGCTAATGGGGAGGGGGAGTTCAATATGAAGTCTAATTTACTGAAGTCTTTGACTCTAGTAATTTGAACACATCTTTGCAATAGTGATTTTTCCTTTTGTGATTACGGTGAATGCCCCATCCCAGAATGCTGACTGACACAAGAGCTCAGTCATTTCATGAATAAACATGACTTTAAAGGGTTGAGTGGAACTGTTCTAGGACTTTTAAAAAACCTTTCTGCCACTTATCACAAGAGATAATCTCTTTTTCTGTGTAAGGATAGAGGAGGGAAATGAGGAGGGAAATGGGCCCTTACAGGACACCGAATGCCAACACTTCATTCAATTTTGGATTTCCCACACTCTAGAAATGTGAGAAGTGAAATTATAGTTGATAAATTATCCAGTTTGGAGTTTTGTTATCCAGCACAGAGGGTCTAGGAGAACAATCTTCAGTTATTTGGTTGTTATTTTTCTGAGTGTGTCTGAGAGTTCAGAGAACAATGGCTGTTAAGCCAAATTTAACCAATGTCAGGCCTTTGTGTGGTTTATGGCGTAAAAGGATTCTTACATACTATGAGCTTTTAAAAACGCAGAAAAGGAGAAAAGGAAAATGATTAGTAACTGACCCCAGAAATTTTTTTTTTAGCCCAATTGCAGAGAATTTGCAAACAAGTTGATTATAATTAAGATCATTCCTAGGCATTTTATTTGTCATGCTATTGAAAAGCCTGTTTACTAAACTAGAAATGTCACATTCCAGTCACAATACAATTTTTCCATAGACATTTAAATGAATCAATGAAGAAAAGCCTTTTCATTTTTAGTGACAAACTCATGAAACATCTTTCGAGGGTGTTAAGACCAGGACATATCAGCAACACAAAGACACTGGGAATCTGTGGGAAGATCTTTCCTTCTTGGCTGCTCCCTCGGCTCTGTCCTTACCCTGCCCTTACCCAACTTGCTACCTTCTCAGTGGTACAGGACTGAGGAAATTGTCAAGACGTTCTTTTTAACTTTTGCTTCTTACTTTTTATCACTTGTGAGTTAGTCAGTGTTTTCCAAAAAAAAAAAAAAAAAAAAAAAAAAAAAAAAAACAACCCACAAACAATAGGATAGACAGGTAAGATTGACGTGATTTAATCCAGGGACTAGGTCACGGAGTTGTTGTTAGGTCTCACATTCAGGACAAATGGCTAACTGAAGTGCGTATTCTCAGCATCACAAGCACCCAGTACTGTACAGTTATCCTGACTGACATACCCTGCCCCCTACCCTAAATCTTCCCAGCCCTTGAGTTTCCCTTCCTTTTCCCCCGCTTCTCTGACACCGTATAATCCAAACGTTTGGGCTGCAAGGTCTCTCGGCTGTTTGGTCTCCTGGCCTGCTCACGGCCTCTAGGTCTGCAACTCCTCTCTGCTCTGTCTTCTTCCCTGCTCCCCGTGGCCCGGTTCAGTCTGCAGGCCTGGTTCAGTTTGGACCCTTCTAGATGCTTCTGGTTGTTTCTTCCCTCACATCTAAAATAAACCTTCTCCTCAACCATAGCTAGAAGCCGTCTTGTCTTCATTTTTTTCATTCAGCTGTGGGGACTGGCAAGTGTAAAATCCACAAGCCAAGCCAAATGGGCTTGAAATTTAGGTAAGAGTTGACCATCCAGGCTTCGCTTTGAATTGTTCTGGGGTGAAAACACATTCGGGGCTTCCCTGTCGAATGGTGAGAGAGGAATTGCTTATTTGGCCAATGTCCGTCTTTGCCAACTGATAAGACAGGGTGTACCACATTCCTAGAGAGTTATCTACATCAGTCTGTTCAGTAGATCTACAAAGCACCTTCATTGCAATGTGCACCCATCCATACTAAGGGAAACAAAGTTGAGGTATTCTCCCACTTCCCCTCCTCCTGGGTATTTCCTCACCCTATATCTTTTTGTTTTGTTTTGTTTTGAAGACAGGGTTTCTCTGTGTAACAGCCCTGGCTCTCCTGGAATTCACTCTGTAGACCAGGCTGACCTCGAACTCACAGAGATCCGCCTGCCTCTGCCTCCCTGAGTACCAGGATTAAAGGCGTGCGCCACCACGGCCTGGCAACCCTGTATCTTCTAATGAGAGGGTAGCCTTTTTCAGATTCCTAGTTATGTGTGAGTTATGACGAGGGTGGAATTACAGGTGAAGAGGGGATGTCCATTTCCTTTGGTCAGGGCCTTTGTGCCATTCTTCTTAGGTCTGCCCAAACAAGATCTAGAACCTTCATCGCCAGACGGGGCAATATCGGTTCTCTGTGCATTCTGTCGGAGATGCAACACGGTAGGCTCTGGTTCTGAGGCTCTAAGTCCCTTTAAAGGTTTGGTGGTCCTTTCTCTCAGCGTCACACCTACATGAACATTTTCTGTTCACAGTAAGTTAATAAAAACAAAGTGCACAATTGTACGTGCGCTTACATTTCAGGTGTATCTTCAGTCGGAAAGCCACACGGCGACTTCCAGCCCGCACTGGGGCGTTTGCCACCTTGGACTTGGCAGGCTTCCGGGGGGGCTCTTTGGTGACAGACTGGAAACACACCGGTTGTCACCAATGCCTCCTAACACAACAGAGCAATCTCCGCTTCCCTTCTTGCAGCTCAGCTTTGCGGGCTCAATCCGCGAGGGTTCCCCTAAGTCACCCACGAACACCGGGGGTAACGGATTTAGGACCTTGCGAGGACACCCGAGGGAGCTTACGGGGCATGCGCGGGGGGCCGGAGGCGCGCGCATGCGCTCCGGCGGATGCCCGGGTTCGCCGGCCTCTTGCGGCGGCTGGGCGGCTGCGCGCGGCTGACGTGCCTGGCGGGCGGGCGGGCGGGCGGCGGCGGCGGGACTCCGCGAGGGGAAGGAGCGCCGCCGAGGTGGATGAGGTGGGGGGCCGGACCCGGAAGTGGGTGGGCGCGGGCGCGAGCGCGCGGGGATCGGAGCTGGCTGCCCCGAGCCGGCGCGGGAGCCCGGGGTTCCCGGTAATGGGCCTGTGGGGGCGCTTGCCCGGACAGCCTGGGAGGGAAGGGTCACGGGCGAGCGCGGTCCCCGCCGACCCGGGGCCTGGGGAGGCTCCGCTTGCAGCGGTCGCCCGTGCTGATCCCGCTCCCGGCGCCCCACCTAGGGCCGCTCTGCTCTGCCCGGTGGGTTTCGGAAGGGCTGTCTCGGGGGAGCCGTGCCGCACTCGCCCGGGGAGAGCATGCTCATGGAGACTTGCTTTACCGTGGCCGCGCCGGTCTTATTGTCACGGTCCCCCAGCACCCAAACCGGGACTGCAGCCCCCGGCGTGTATGCTGCACGGTCCGCAGCCTCGGCCGCATCGTCCTCTCTCTGTTCTGTTCTCTCCACCTTATTCGTGAATCAGGCCTGGAAGGTGTGCTGTGCCTTCACTTAACACTAATTCTTTTGTTGGTTGTCTTGCCCTAAACCCAGCCCTCCTTGTTCTCCGCCCTCAGAATCTTAGTTGCTAGTGAATGGAACGTTGACTTTGTAATTAAGAGAGAGTTTAGGAAAGATTAGTTGACAGCACCTTTGGTTATTTAAGATTGCTTTGCTGCGGAGTTCTTAATGTATGATTCTCACTGTTTTGCAGATCATGAAACGGTGGGGCACGCCCCTTCAGAAGCTGTTGTTCAAGACAATCTAGTTTTGTTTCCTAAACCTCGTAAGTCACTTATGAAGTTTCTTGTTCAAAAATTGCAGTACTGCAATGAAGAAGAGGAGAAAGGTCACTTCAAATCTCGATGAGAAGATCCATCTGGGCTATCACAAAGAGTCTTCAGAAGGAAATGCTGCTGTGGAGTGTGGCCAAGTGACCTACACTCGGTCTGCAGGAAGACCAACTCCCGAAGCTCTTCAGTGTTACCAAGAACTTCCTCCCTCTCCAGATCAGAGGAAGCTTTTGAGTTCTTTGCAGTATAACAAGAATTTGCTGAAGTATTTGAATGATGACAGGCAGAAGCAGCCATCTTTCTGTGATTTACTTATCGTCGTAGAAGGGAAAGAATTTAGTGCGCATAAAGTAGTGGTTGCGGTTGGTAGTAGTTATTTCCATGCGTGTTTGAGTAAAAACCCAAGCACCGATGTCGTCACCCTGGATCACGTAACACATTCAGTTTTTCAGCATTTGCTTGAGTTTCTTTACACGTCAGAATTTTTTGTGTACAAATACGAAATACCTCTTGTTTTAGAGGCCGCAAAATTTTTGGACATTATAGATGCAGTAAAGCTGCTGAATAATGAAAACGTTGCAACTTTTCAGGCAGAACTAACTGAAAAGTCATCTCCAGAAGAAACACTAAGTGATTTAACTGGAAGACTGTCAAATAATCATCAGTGCAAATTTTGTAGCAGACATTTCTGCTATAAAAAGTCCTTAGAGAATCATTTAGCTAAAACTCACAGGTCTCTGTTATTGGGGAAAAAACATGGGTTAAAAATGCTGGAGAGAAGTTTTTCTGCACGAAGGTCAAAAAGGAATAGGAAGTGTCCTGTAAAGTTTGAGGACACTAGTGATGATGAACAGGAAAGTGGGGGTGGGTCAGACAGTTTGAATCAAGAAGGTTTTGATAAGGAGAAGTCAGATAGGAATGATTCTGAGGATCCTGGAAGTGAATACAATGCTGAAGATGATGAGCTAGAGGAGGAGATGTCAGATGAAGACTCTGATACTGAGCAAAGTGATAAAGATAACGATGCGGAAGAGGAACCCGAGGCTGGCGATTCAGCAGGAAGCATCCACGAAGGGCTAGCTCCGGTAATCATTCAGAACAGTAATAAGAAAATACTGCAGTGTCCCAAATGTGATAAAACTTTTGACCGAATAGGTAAGGACCGCCTGTTTCCTAGCTCTAATCTTCTACTATTTTGGAGGGAAATCATTAAAAACTAAACTTTGAAGGAACTTTTAAGAAGAGTTCTGTAGTAGGGAAGATGTTCTGATTTTCAGCACGTTGTTTATCTTGTTATCTTAAATTTGTTGTGAATCAGAAATTTGGTATTTAATCTTTTATGTTTTCTTCATTATGTCTTAACAGGCTACAGGTTCTGTATTTGGGAGAAAGACTCCAGAAAATCAGCAGTTATTATATATAGCTTTTGACTTACATGCCAGTTTAATTTTAGAAGTGCTGGTTTCGAGTTACATGTACATTGATTATGAAATTGTTAAGTATGTTCTGCACATAAAATGATTAAAACAGTTTAAGAAGAAGTGCAGTCTGACTTTGTAAAAGAAACCATGCAGTTCTGTCCAGACATGACTGTTTTGTCCTGGGTCATGTATGCTCTTCGCGTAGGTTAACATTTGGTTTATAAGGTATTTGTAATCATTTGCTATCAAAGTAGGCTAGTGGAATAGGTTAACTGGTTTGAGTGTTTAAACTTTTTCTTTTTGCTTTTATAGTACTTTTTGAATGTATTTCTAAGGATACTTTTTTCAGGACAGTTTAATGATTATTAGTAATTTTACTCTGTTTCATACACAGAAATAAGACAACTTCTGAACAACTTAGTCAATTGAAAGAGCTTATGTGTACAAGAAACTCGTTAGTCCTGGTAGTCAATGTCACTGTAGCTCTCTCAATGTGTGGATGTACACAGAGAGCAGCTTTTTGGAGCTGAGGTACCTGGGAACATTTTATCTTAGAATGTTTTATTTTTCCTGTACATCTTAGACTTTGAACTCCCTCCTTATGGTATTCTACAAACTTTAATTAGCCTAATTTGACTTGGAAATCAGTGAGCAAGGGTCAGTTCAGTACCAGCATTATAGGTCCAGCATGTTGTTCTCTTGAACAGTCAGTCTGTGAGGTACTTCATTGAGGGAGGGCTTTCAGTTCCACTAAGTTTGGGAAACTGTAATACATAGTCTGCTTTAACTTTATGCAATTCTATAATAATACTAGAAAATATATCTCTTAATTTTGCTTACCCTAGCTTTTCTTCAAGTCACTTTATAAATAAGGTACCTACTTATGAGTGCTTTTCATAATGTCCCCAGGAAACTATAGAGTTTTATGCACATGAACTGCCTAAAATTGAAGCTGATAAACCTACAAGTTTACAAAACGTTTTTTGCCAAAGTCACTCCATATATTATGAGAATCAATAGATTACAATGTAGGGTTATTTCCAACTTACTTTTCAGAATGAATTTTACATTACAGTGTTTCTCTTCTGTTGCTTGACTTGGGTTTCTTGGTGTTCACTCATTCTTCCTCTGGTGGAGTGTCTCTGCCTCTATGTATGTCTATCTAGTACTTGTTTATATCCACTTGCTGATTTAAAAGCTTGAGCTGTTGTAGGGTCATACTACTGGGTTTTTAAATCTAGGCCTCGTGTGAGTTGTTTAACCTATGTGTGGGGTTTTCACCCTTCATTAGTGAAATGAGGTGATGCTGATGTGTTGTTAATAATATGAATGGTTATGCTGAAAATTAAAAAGGGATGATTCTGGAGAATCACTTAAATGCTGCACAGAATGCAGGTGTTCAAGAATGTTAGCTGCTCTTAGGATTCATTAATTTAACATTGGATGCCTTCCAAGCTCGGTTAAACAGATATGAAATGATATGCTTTCTGTCCACAAGTATCTGAGTACATGCAAAGAATTAGCATAATACAATAAAGTTAATTTTATCAGGAGGACCAGGAAAAGGAGTGACTTCACAGAACTGGTAGTATTGAATATGAAACTTCTAAAATTGGGTGGTGTTTACAGGGTAGAAGGATCAGTGTATAAAGGCATTGAGGTATATGGTATGTTCTAGAAATTGCTAAGGTGTGAGTGTCTTTCAGATAAGAAAAGAGGCTTAGAAAAAAATGACAGGGACTAAGTAGGCAAATAAGGAAAGCCAGCTTTGGGATGGCTTGAATGCTATATGGAGTTTATGTTTTATCTGATGAAACTGCTGGGGAGGAGAAGCTTCAAAAGGAGAGAATGACAGCCAGTGAGTTATAGCCAGATTGTGTGGCTTCAGTGTGAAGAAGGAGACTGGGCAAGGAGACGAGAAAGCCAGAGGGGCAAGAAGGGGCATAGCAGAGGCAGAAGCATAATGCTGCTTGGATTCGGAAGTTGAGTGACATTGGCAGTGAAAAGTGGGATGAGGGTAGAACAGTGGTTATGGCGAATGTCAACAGAGCAACCGGCGACAGGTAGAATGAAAAGAGTATGTAGAAGATAAACTGTGAATGTTTGCCTGATCTCAAGACAATTTTATAGCTGTCTTTCATTTTTCTCATCTCACGCTCATTCCTTTTACAGGATTTTAAAATGTCCATCTTAAATTTTTGATTATCATTTTGCTGGTCTAACTAAATTGAGGCTGAAGCTTATATACTTTTGTGCTCGGTTAGTATGCTTTGGATATTCCAGGTCATTAACATTTGCCAGTAGCACTTACTGCCTTGAACTAAGTTTAAAGGACATTATCTGGTTTCCCATTGGCTTATACTGGCCCTGTTGGGCTTCTTTGTCATCTCCTTGCTTGGCTGCCGTAAAGTGTGCTCATGAGGGCAAGGGATAAGCTCTGAGATTTCTGCTGGAACCATTAGCTGCACAATACATAACCGAAAAATTGGATTCCATTATTGGGCTCTTTTATTCTTCTAGTTATGTCTTTCCAGAGGCAACCAGCTGTCCATTTCTCATCCAATTCTCATGCAAATAAGAGTCCTTTGACCTTGCTGCCCCTTATACCAAAAACCTACTGGGTAAAAAGCAGAATAGAGACATGACAGATGGGGTAAGAGAGGAAATTTGGATAATTTAGAATTTTTGTTTCCTTTCACAGAACTTTAAAGTCTTTGCTTGGAGTAAATCACAATCTCTTCTCGAGACAAAATATATTTTGTATCCCCTCTCCCTCTTTATTAAACATGAGTTTATTTAGTCTATTTGAATAGGGATTCTACTTGCTTCTTAGCAAATTGTAACAATGGTGTACTTTTCTACTTTACAGCTAAATATTTTGTTGATGTGCTCGTTACGGTGTGCTAGATGAATAGGTGCGATTGAGAGTAACAGTGTCAGATAGGAAGTATAGTAGGGTAATTTAGTGACGCTTCTCACCAAAACTGCATGTAAAATCTGAAAATAATCATTTTGGCTGAGCCATATGAGGGGGTAAATTTTGAAACATATCAAGACAAATTTATTCATTGAAAACATCTTTGGTTTGTGACTCCTACTTTTTGGTTCAGAAAACTACAGTTTTTCACTATATGATGTTTCCTATTTTTTACAGAGAACATGGTGATTTTATGCATTGTTATTAGAATCTCTTCCTCACAAATTATAGATTATAGATACTCTTTTTACCAAGGAGTGCCACTTCCATACCCCTAAACTCCTGCCAGTTGCTTTAAACATGAGATTTATTGGGGGGTTACATTTTGTTTTTCTTGATAAATCTCTGGAGACCCACTTGGATCTTCTGAGTCGAGCTTTCCCCAGGCTTGTCTGTTTTTCTTGTTCCGAATTTCAGCTCCATGGAGACAGTGGGCTCTGCAGTAGGGATGTGCATAAACTCTGAGTTTGTAACCTAAGTTTTTTCATGTCTGCGATTTGTAATGCTGTAGGAATTTACCTCGGTCTCTTGACATTATTACATTTATTTTGTTATTTTTTCTCTTTTATAAATGATTTAAGTTTTATTATAAAAATCTTGCAAGTTAAAGAAAATCACACAGTTACTCTATTTACTTCAAAAGGTTTTTAAAATCATTGGGTTTGGGGACTGGGGAAGAGGCTCCGCAAATATGAAGGCTTGAGGACCATGGCTGTGTGTACCTGTATGTCCTGGATTTAGAGGTGGAGACAGGTGGATGCCAGGAGTTGGCAGGCCAGCCGATTAGCTGAAGGGCAAGCTTACTGTTCATTGAGTGACCTGTCTTAAGACAACAAGGAACGCAGAATCAGGCAGATCTCTGTGAGTTCGAGGCTAGCTTGATTTACAGAGTGAGTTCCAGGACAGCCAGGGCTGTTACACAGAGAAACCCTGTCTTGAACTCAACCCCCCTTTCCCCCCAAAAGAAAAGGACAACAAGGTAGAGGGCTTGAGGAGGACACCCAGTTTGCTCGGGTCTCTTGTGTGTATGCGCATGGGCAGTCACCACCCCACCCAACACACACACATGATTGCACGCGCACACGTGAGCGAGCGTGCTTTGAGCTATTTAAGTTTAAATCTTTTCTATTAATCTTTTTAAGACTACTGGTCTAAGAAGGTGAGGTCAATTTTTTTTAAAATTTAACTGTCTATTCTATGGTTTTAATATCAATAATATATCTTAATTTTTATTCCAAGTAGAAAAAAATGTCTTGATCGTAAGTGGACTGAAAATGCTAGTAAGTACTAGTATAAGATCTTTACAACTGTAATATGTTTATAGAAAGTAAACAACTACTGCAATTTTTTTTTACATATATTTTTAGGTTCTCTTTGGGACCAAAAATGAGATTTGTGCATTAGAAAGTTGATAAATTATTTTCCAATCCTGAGAATCTACTAAAGATGCTAATAGTAATAGTGGCTAAAATTTATTAGTGTTTACTAGGTACTAGAATGTTTTAAGTATCATGTGTATATTAATTCATTTATTATATAACATTCCATAAAGTTTTACTAATTCAGGTCCCAAGGAGAGGCTAAATATTTAGCTTACTTAGGTCACACCTAACTGAGAAGGTGACCAATCACTGACTGTGTTTTCTTGACACTTGTGTAAAACGAGGATCAAATCATTCTGCAGAAAATTTTATACAGATTTTGTTGTTTGGATGAGGAAGATTTGAAGCAGAGAAGTTATTTGTCCCAGGTCACACATTCTACTATTTAAGGAGGCAGATTTGTGTCCTGGTCCAAAGATCCAACGTGGCCTGTGTTTACCTGTGATGCTTTTCTGCCTCAGAAATGTAGACATTTATGTGCTACCTAGTGATGGTAAGAACTTTATGCTAAATAGGAATGTAAGCAAATTAAACCAGTTGTATGCATTCACTTGCTTCCTTTCTCACTGTGCTTTTCTTGTTGAGCAGTCGTTGCAGTTTCTTGGTCATTTCTATTAGAAATACCTGTATTTCTCATTCTGAGTAGATGGAGAGCTTAGGCATGCAGTTCACATGGATGACTCCGGGTACCTTGTATGCCTGTTCATCTTTCTTACTAGCTTAGATTTTACCTGTGTGTGTTGGGTTTAGCATTTCAGTATTAAGCACACAGTCATCCTTTATTTTCTTGTTTCTTAAGGAGTTCTTAGCTGATTGATTTGTGTTGTTAATTATTTGTTAACTCTTCTAGGTTTGCTGCATTCTTCCTAGAATGCCTCTTGTGAAAAGAAAATAACAAAATAAGTAAACATTTCTTTCTTTATAATATTTGAATAAGAGCTATCAATTCTGAACACTGAGTTTGTGGGTATGCATAGGAAAAGTAAATTGTAGATATAATAAATGTTAAGTGATGAGTAGATATTTTCCTAAAGATTAGTTTTACATTTAAAAATACATTCAATATTTAGAATTTGTCCACACTTTTATAGGAAAATATCCGACATTAAGATTTATTTTATTTGTTTTTTTATTTTTTGTTTTCGAGACAGGGTTTCTCTGTGTAGCCCTGGTTGCTCTGGAACTTGCTCTGTAGACTAGGCTGGCCTTGAACTCAGAGATCCACCTGCCCCTGCCTCCCGAGTGCTGGGATTAAAGGTGTACATCATCACAGTCTGGCAACATTAAGGTTTTTAAAATACATGAATGAATACTTTTTTTTTAATGACTGAAGCTTTTGAGGAAAAGTATATTTTAAACAGTAAGCTTGAAGTGCCGAGTCTTTGAGGTTCATTTGAGTTAGAAATTTAGATAAATGTTTTTCTTTTTAGTTCCCTATATGCATTTGGGGGTATATATTAAGTTTATTAAACTTATAATTATAAATGAATTATAAATGAAAATTATTAAAATTTTCGTTCCTCTCTGAGATTTCAGCCACAGCACAGCAGATTTGTTGAACTTAATTTTCTTCTTCATTACAGGGAAATATGAGAGCCACACCCGTGTGCACACAGGTGAGAAGCCTTTTGAGTGTGATATTTGTCACCAGCGTTATTCGACCAAGTCTAACTTAACTGTCCACAGAAAGAAGCACAGTAATGAAGTAGAGTTCCACAAGAAGGAGCACAAGTGCCCTTACTGTAATAAACTCCACGCAAGCAAGAAGACCCTAGCCAAGCACGTCAAGAGGCAAGTACTGTCCTGCTTCCATTATGTATGTCTTGGACCTTCTAATGTAGACAAAAGGAAACCGGAAATGTCTACAGGGTGCTTATTTCAATTCCGTCCATTGCTTTATGGTTTTGTAGAGTTTACAAGTCAACAGAACAACAGCAAATGTTAGTTTGTTCATATTTTTTCCCTTTTGGAAGTGCAACAAGAATATGGCCCATAATGTAAAGTTTAAGATGCATTTTGATCATCTTTTTTTTTTTTTATTATTTGGTTTTGACAAGTATGTCTTCAGAAATGCATGACTTTAAAACTCTTAAGAAATTAGTTTTCATATTCATGTTTAGTGTGGAAAAGTTCGTGACTATATTTAATATAGTGCTGAATATTAACTCTAAAAATTAAAGTATCTGCACACATGTAGATTTTAAGAATGCATTTAAATATACTTTTCTTAATTTCTGTGTAACTTAATTATATGCATAAAATCTTTAAAATGAGGGAAGCTCTATTCTTACTACATGTACCTGTGTTTATAAGGACATTCAGGACCGAAGGTGGGTAAGGTGCTGATCACTGTAATCCTAGCTCCTGTGAGGCTGAGGCTGATGGATTGCTGTAAGTTTAAGGCCAATTTGGGTTATAGAGTGAGACCCTGTAATAACAACACCAAAAATAAACAAGTAATACCTAATTTTTTTTTTGTGTGTGTGTAGCAGAGTTTTGATTTGTAGCCTAGGCTGGCCATCAATACTAGCTCTTCCTGCCTCAGCTTTCTGAGTGTAAGGTTGCAGGCATGTACCACACTGGGCTAGTATCTGATTCTTGAAATCACCCTTGACAGATTAATGTGAACTATAGACGTAATTAGCATAGTTTTCCTAACATTTTCTCTCTTTTTTGATAGATTTCATCCTGAAAATGCACAAGAATTTATTTCCATCAAGAAGACTAAAAGTGAAAGTTGGAAATGTGACGTAAGAATTTGTAATTTCTATTAGAAAATCAAAGTAAATGTAATGTCTTTTGGGAAACAAAGGTAATTAGGTTTAAAGTAATGGAACTTATCTCAGTTTTAGAATCTTTTAAAGTTATTTGAAAAAAATTGTTTTTTAAATTTCTCTTGCAAACATGTTAGTTTTCAGATAGTAGACCTCAGAAATGGATATCCTGTTTTGGTTCTTATTATTCCTTGGTCTGTCCCCTTCATACAATTAGCAAAATCACTCTGGTTTGTATTTAGAATTGTGTATAATGATCTCTAGCATTACTATGGCAGAATATAGAATGTTAAATTGCCCCTCCTTTCCTGGTTGTCTGTTGCTGTATAATACACCATGTTGAAGCGCAAGGGTCCTTAGAGTGCTGTTTTACTGGTTTTCCCCTTTTGGTTGGTCAGGAATCCAAACGGGGGACAAGGCTTTGCTAGGTATTTCTTTAGTTCTGTGCTATGTCAGTCAAAGTAACGCAGTTGTTATAAATTACAGGATAAATTTTTCTGGTTTGGGACACATTCACAGTGACTTACTAATATAACAGTCAACTTAGTGATGCCTGATGGCTAGAATTAGTAAGGATGGATCAGGGAACAGGAGATTCCCTTCTTGCTCTCCTTGAAGCTGCTTGTGCTTCCTCCACCCTTCTGGTATAGCAGCTAGACTCAGAGAGACAGAGAGAGGAGAAGTGTGTGTGTGTATGTGTGTGTGTGCATGCATGTGTGCGTACATGTGCATGCCAAGAAGTGTAGTCAAGGCTTCAGAAGTCCCAGATCGTAACTTCTGCCACATGCTGTTGGTTAAATGGTCAGTTCTAGAACAGAGTGGCGGGGAGAGGAATTCAGTGGGAGTAGTAGCAGAGAATTTCTGTTTCTTCTGTCACACTCCTAAGGATTTTTGTCAGTATTTAGTTGCATATGGTTTAGTATTTAATACTGCTTATCATTTACATTGTTATTCTAAAGATTAACTTACATATGTAGCATACTTCCAGAATTGTCCCTAGTTCTCTGATTGCAGCTTCAGAAAACTGAAGTTAATTTCTTTGACTCTGCACAAGATGTCCACTTCACTTTATTAGGCTTTATCATCCTCAAGTCTAAAATGAGGACACTGTTACTATGTCTGCTCTGTAGCACTTTCTGAGCACTAAATAAAGTGATCTTGGACTTGTGCCTAGTTGGTACTGTTGTCTGTTGCTGCAGCAGCTTCACTCGTTTTAAATCCCTGACTTATGGTACATTTTTTATTTTTCAAGACCGTATTTCTTTGTGTACACCTGTCTGCCTTGGAACTCACTCTGTAGACCAGGCTGGCCTTGAACTCAGAGACGTGCCTGCCTCTTCCTCCAGAGTGCTGATATTAAAGGTGTGCACTTACCACCACCTGGCCATATATTGTATTTTTATATACTGTTTTCTTATTTCAGAAAACTTCCAGATAAAAGTTGAGGGGTTTTCTGTGATTTAATTATTGATAATCCTAATGAAATATATGGTAATAATGATTAAAAAAATCTTTTTATTTCTGATATAAATTTGGTTTTATTTTGTGGATTAAAAAATGGATATCCATGGGTGGAGAGGTGGCTCATCGGTTCAAAGGGCTACTCTTGCAAAGGACCCAGATTCTGTTCCCACTCATAACCATCAGTAAACTATCTCCAGGGGATTCAACGCCCTCTTCTGACCTCCGTGGGCACCAGGCACGCATGTGATGCACATACATACATGCAAACAGTGACTGAATAAAATAAAAATAAATCTTTTTAAAAAGAAATCGCTATCTAGAATTAAGATACTAAGAGTATGTTATAGCTTTGTTAAACATAGAATGAGTGGGAATTCATCTAACTTTAGGGTTAACTTAGCATAATTCTGAACTATAATGCTTCTAGTGTTTCTTATTTTCCCCCTTTTTTGGCAGTTAGAAAATTGATAATACTTTGGTAAGTTTTCTGTTGGAAGATGTTTCTCTTTACTTGAATTTGTATGTTTTATCTGTATTATGAGTTTTATATTTTAATTCAATCTTAAATTAAGGTAGCTACATTTTATATACACTTTTATTTAGATTTGTAAGAAATCTTTTACTCGAAGACCACACTTGGAGGAACACATGATTCTGCATTCACAAGATAAACCTTTTAAGTGTACCTATTGTGAAGAGCATTTCAAATCCCGATTTGCACGGTTAAAGCATCAGGAGAAGTTCCATCTGGGTAAGTTATGTTTTCGTAAAGTAGTCATCTGGTTACTGATTATCTGATGTAGAAGAGCTCACCACTGTTAAACTGTACTTTTTCCTCTTAAAAACCTTCATTGTTTGGAGGGAGTAAAGAAAAGGGGGAAATGGAGTAATTATATTATGCTCTTGGAAAACATCTCTTTTTGTTTAAGAGTAGTTTTAAATTCACAACACAATTGAGAAGGTGCAGATAGTTATTGTGTTGCCAACCTCTGTATGTACAGCATTGTCCCACATCAGCATCCGCACCACATGGTTATCAGCCTTTGTATGTACAGCATCATCCCACATCAGCATCCCCACCACATGGTTATCAGCCTTTGTATGTACAGCATCATCCCACATCAGCATCCCCACCACATGGTACAGTTTAAAAAATGGTTAATGTCCAAATTTTGGTGATTAATTATAAAATGGCTGTAGTTATCTGTTTGCAAGTTTTTTTGTGGACAAATTGGATGAAAATCTGAGAACATAAAGAAAAGGTCTATTGGATTGTTAGAATACATTCAGTTTGTTAGAAATTGCCACATTGTCTTCCAAAATGGTTGTACCAGCTGGATTAGAACTCCTGTTACTTTAGCATTTAACATTTGGTCTTGTCAGAATTCTGATATTTAAGGCACCACAGTAATTGCTTACTATATTGTTGCTTCATTTGCATTTTGCTGGAGATACGGTGTGGAGCATCTTTTCTCATGTTTGTCATTTGTCTTTGACGCTCTGTTAAGTCTTTAATTCTATGTTCTAGTGGGGCTGTTTTCATTTTTTTTTTTTGAGTTCTGAGAATTCTTTTTAAAAATAATTAGGTATTTGTGTGTGTGTGTGTGTGTGTGTGTGTGTGTGTGTGTGTGTGTGTGTGTGTGAGAGACATGTCCCTGTGTATGCCTGTGATGAGGTATTGGGACAACTTATAGGAGTTGTTCTCTCTTTCCACCATGTGATTCTCAAGGATGGAACTCAGGTTATCAGGTTTAGTGGCAAACACCTTTCCCTGCTGTGTTGCTGTAAGTTTTCTGTGATCCCACCTGGCTCCTGTGGCCCCACAGTCCCTCAGCCACTCAGACCCAAATAAACACACACAGGCTTATATTATTTTTAAACTATGGCCATGGCAGGCTTCTTGCTAGCTAGCTCTTATATCTTAAATGAACCCATTTCTATAAACCTATATTTGCCACGTGGCTTGTGGCTACCATTATCTTTACATCTTGCTTCTCCTGGCAGCGGCTAGCAGCGTCTCCTCTGCTCTCTTTTCTCCTTCCTTTCTCTCTGGTTGGAATGTCCCGCCTAACCTTATTTTGCCTCACCATTGGCCAAACAGCTTTATTTATCAACCAATAAGAGCAACACACATTCACAGCATGCAAAATGGCATCACCCATCACTGCTGAACCATCTCTCTGGCTTGAAAATTCTTTTTTTTTTAAGGAGTTATTTTTATTATTTTAAGTGTGTGTGTGTGTGTGTGTGTGTGTGTGTGTGTGTGTGTGTGTGTGTGTGTTTTCATGTTCTGTGTCTCTCTGGCTTGAAACTCCTTTTATTTTTTTAAGAATTTATTTTTTATTATTTAAATTGTGTTTGTGTTTTCATGCTGTGTGTGCCCATAACAGGGTGGAGTGTTGGATGTCTTGGGGCTGGAGTTACAAATGGTTGTAAACTATCCATGGTTGTAAGCTATCCAGCATGTCTGTTGGGAACCTAATGGGTCCTCTGGAAGAGCAGTATGTGGTCTTCACCACCTAGCCAACTCTTCAGTCCCTTTAGATTGCTTTATGTATTTTTTGTTACACTACTTTAGTAGTGTCTGGCTTGTCATTCGTTGTACTGACAAGGTTCTGTCATGGGACAAAATTCAACTTTCAAGACTGTCATATATAAACATTGTCAAACCTAACATCACCTATATTTTTGCATACATTGTTTGTATAAGTTGTATAATTTTCTATTTTTCCTATTTAGATGATGAGCCATTTTGAGTTCATTTTTGCAGAGGACACCATTTGTAGAGGACGATGTCTAGATTTGTGAGGTCTCTATTCTCTTTCTTGTGTACATGGTTGTCAAATTGTTTCAGCTTCACTTTTTTTAAGACCATTGTGTGGCCTTCACGCCTTTGGCAGTTCGCTTCATGTTTGTGTGTCTATTTACTGCTCTGCATACTGTCTATATTATTACAGCTTTACAGTAAGCTTTGAAGTCTGGTAGTGCTGGTCTTCTAACTTTGTTTTTGACTTCAGTATTATGGTGTCCATTCTGGAGTTCTTGTCTCTACATAAACATGAGAATCAGCTTTTCAGGCTGGGCTTGGTAACTCATGCCCAAGTTCCAGCACTCAGGAGCTGAGACAGGAGGATCAGCATAATTTTGCAACAGTTTGGGCTACATAGTGACTCTAAGCCAACCTTGTCTACATGAAGAGACCATGTTAAAGAAAAAACAAATGTAATTTATTGATACCCCTCAATTAATTTATCAGGAATGTTAGGGATGTCTTTAATCTTGTCTATTAAATCAGAAGTCCTGGTGTGCGTGAGTCTTCCTGCTTATGAACATTTGTGCAGTTTATTTTCATTAGAGTTTTGTCATATTTTTATCATTGTTTGTTTGTTTTATTCAACTTTATATCTTTCCTAATATTGTTAGGCTTTTTAAGCAGTTTCTTCTGGAGGATTATTGAAACACTCTTTTTGAACTTTGGTATTGAATTAGGGCAAAGGGAGTTGTACTTATTTGGAGTGATGCTATATATGTTACAGTTCCTGTACATCAGCAAATATGACTTGGTTTTGTTTTGAATAGCAAAAATGCCAGAGAATATAAACAGTTCACAATTGATCATTAGATAGATCTCATTAAATGCTTGAAACAGGGCATTTGATTTCATAAAAACTTTTCCTGAATATAAACTTAGTATATTTGGAATAGATGAGTTTCCTCCTTAATGCTTATGGCCAAGATAGAGAGAGACTTAGATTTTAAATTTGGAAGTATGGCTTGGTAATTTATGAAAGTTAATCCTCATAATGATTTATTGTCATCCCACATAGAAGTCTCTTTTCAGCCTTATTCCTTTTAGGCAGCTTGAATAATAATTTATACTAAGTAAGAATAATGTGGGTAAATAACTATAGATGGCATGAAGCTGATAACAGTATTTCATATACCAGAGAATTTTTTTTATAATTTTATATATATATATATATATATATATATATATATATATATATATATATATATAAAATTTAAAAGTATAGGTCATACAATAGTTGAAGACAAATTTAAAATTATGTATAAATGCCAAGTGGTAGACTTTAGTTCTTGGACTACTTGATTATGAAGCAGTCCATCCTCCAAACTCCTTTTCATATGGATGGGCTTAATAGCACAGGCTTGTTAGACAGAGGCATGGTGTGAACCAATAATGAGCTGACAAAACCAATGCAGATTTCAGCTTTATTAATAGTGTATATTCTTCAGAATTAAAGTAGTAATCTAGTTTTGAATTGATCTGGAAAATTGTATTAATTTCTGGGTCAGTGTATTTAAAATGGATATTGACAAATATAGAAGTGAGTAGCTTGGCTTGTTTTCATTTTCATTTTTGTGGGTTTTGTTTTTTGATACAACAGGGTTTTAAAATTATGTCCGTTAAAACATGTTAAAGGACCTTGAACTATTGTGCCTCAATAAAAGAGTATGTCTGAGCCGGGCGGTGGTGGCGCACGCCTTTAATCCCAGCACTCGGGAGGCAGAGCCAGGTGGATCTCTGTGAGTTCGAGGCCAGCCTGGTCTCCAAAGCGAATACCAGGAAAGGCGCAAAGCTACACAGAGAAACCCTGTCTCGAAAAACCAAAAAAAAAAAAAAAAAAAAAGAGTATGTCTGTTGTTAGATAACTTCAAGGCTATATTGTGTTTCAAGGCATATTTGATTTTTGTGATTATAATGTAGAAAGCTGCTTATTGGTAGAAGATAGAGTATATTTATTTTTTAGCTTAACCCTTTCCAAGTGGTTTTTGACTTGTTCAATCTTAGCAGTTCTAAAAAGGCATCATAGAAACAACTATTAAATATATTAAAAGTTCCAGTTGGAGACATCATGATTACATGTTACATGTGAGAAAATTATTTTTATACTTTATTCCAGGAATAACTACTTTGTGAATGTGCATTTGTGACTGTGTGGTGTATGCACATCTGTATATGCAGGTGTACCTGATTGTGCATGCAGAAGCCAGAGGAAGATGCTGTATGTCCTGTACTGCCACTCTCCACCTTATTCCCTTTAGACAGTATCTTTGACTGAGCCTGGACCTAGGCTGGTGGCCAACAAGCACCAGGAAGTCTTTGTCTTTGCCTGCCCCACAGCATTGGGGTTACAGTGCTGTCCTCTCCTGGCTTTTGACCTGGGTTCTGGGGATTCGAATTTAGATCTTCATTCTTGCTCAGGAAATGTTCTTACTCATTTCCCCAGCCCAGTACCTATGTACTTATTATTGGACAATTAGTGGCTTCCCTTCTTTTTGATTTGAAAACTATAGCTGATCTTTTTTTTTTAAAGTATCCTGGCAAAGAGATTTTTATAATTAATATATGGATTCTACCTCCATTTCTGTTTCTAATTTTCTATTTTAACTTCTAGTAAATGTATCGTTTAGTAGTCACTATTTGAAGAGTATCAGGTAGAAGTTCTAAGATACAAATTTAATCCACTATGTATTCTTATTTTAGAGCTTAAAAGTTAAAGTAACCTGTTTTATATAATAGTTTCTTTCCTATCAGCATATGCTGAGCTGGCTAACTCTTAGAGCTCTTGAAGACGAAGTTTCTAAAAATGGTTTAACTGGATTTTTTTTTGTTGTTGCTTGTTGAAAGATTACTTATTTTTCTATCATATTACATCTCAATTAGGGAAGTGTTGCAGAAATGGTAGAAAGTGAAATTTAATTAATGTGTTAAGCTTTAGTTATAAAGGACATTGAAAAAATACTCCAGGAAAAGGCACTGAACATTAAAAGTAGTACACATTTATCAAACAGCTGCTAGCCATGTAATGAGTTTTGTCTTAGTGTCTAGGGAGATTATGGCTCCAGATTAAATTACAGTGCAGTGCGTAATCAAGCAGGCCAGTAAATCACAATTCTCTGCTCACACATGCTTAGTTACTGTGTATCATTTACTAGGAAAAGAATTCATAGGTATTATGGTATCATGTAAATGAAGTGTAAGACTTCACAGTGAAGATATTTTCACTGTCATGCTCAGCCACCTACTATATGATTTAAAGAATGCTCATAGAGCTGTAGGTTTCTCATATATCAACGTTAATAAATGTTGCTGTGTGGATTAAAAAAGATTGTATTAGTCATGGTTCTATAGAGTAACAACGTATAAAATGAATGTCTGTCTGTCTATCTATCTATCTATCTATCTATCTACCTACCTACCTACCTATCTACCTATCTAGGAGATTTATTAGAATGAATTAAAGGTTGTAGTCCAGCTAATGCAACAGTGTTTGGCTCTGAATGGGAAATAAGAATTCAGAAGTTGCTCAGTCCACAAGGTTGAATATCTCAGCTGATCTTCAGTATACACTAAATCCCAGAGAAATAGTCTCTATGCCAGTGAAGGAATGGACTTGGTAGCAAGTCAGAACAAGCAGGCAAAGAGCAAACGCTTCCTTCTTCCATGTCCTCATGTAGGCTTCTAGCAGAAGGTGTGGCCTAGAATAAAGGTGGATCTTCCTATTTCAAATTAAGTAAAAATCCCTCACAGCTGTATCTTCCATTTTTGGATTTTAGTTAATTCCATATGTAGTCAAGTTGACAACCAAAACAGTCATTACAAAGGTAATATGTAATAGGTGTTAAGTTTGCATTCTCTTTCTCTGAATATATATTATTTCCAATATTATAGTTATTATTTTTAAGAACTCTGAAAAATCTATTTTTGAATAAAATAATGGGCTTATATTTTTCATAATATTTAAGAAAAAGATCAAACATGATAAACTGTATAGGTGATTGGTGTGAGTATTTCTGCTCTTTCCCCCCTTACATAATGATGCTAACAAATGGTGGATGGTGATGTGGCTCAGTACCAGAGCAGATGCATGGCATAGGAAGGTACAAGATCCATCCTTAGCACCATAAAGACAATGGATAGACCACAAAGGGAATGTTTAATGACATATGTAGTAGACCAGTTTTGAGCCTCACCTCTATACTTCCATTGCTGTGAACTGTTGTAAACTTCAGATGAGTGATTCACAAGAAACAGTGCAAGTCCCATCCCTTGAAGAGATTGTTGAAGCAGCCCGATCATGCTCCAGGGTACTTGCTTTCATAGGTCTGCTCTGCTTGTTTGATGGTGCTAGTGCTGCCAGTGCTGCCATCCACCTGGAGCAACTCTTAACTGTATTCAAAAATACATTGGTGCTGCCTGTTTTATCATTGTATATTGTGTTGAGTTAGAGAGAGTTATGGAAGACTTTTAATATATTTGCATTTGTAAGTGTGAGATTTATAGTCAGATAATCTAACTTTTAAAAGTCAGATCTTATAATTCTATCATGTGTACAGAGTTATTTTGAAGTGTTGCTTAATGGTAAGATTTTAGCATAGCGGAATAAAGAGTTGAGAGGAGTTTGACGACATGTAAAACTGAGTATCCAATATGGAAAAAAATTAAAAGTTGTTTTCTTCGAGGAACCCTAACAAGTAAGAACATGCAGGTGGATGCTGTTTCTTCCTCATCTTGCTGGATACATCAACTGTATAGAGAGTTAACAGGTTACAGAGATGTTAAGAATAGATGGTTAATGCTTCATTCAACTCCTGCCTGTCATAATAGGTTCATCGTGACTCTGCATCTCATCGATTTATTTTCAACTTCACGAATACTGCCTTTTCTTTCCCAACTATTTGGAGACCTTTTCTTTTCTCAGTGCAGGGATGGAGGAGGGAGTTTCCACAGTACTTAAAATGAACCAATAAATCTTTGTTGAATGAGTTAATATATGAGTAATAAATTCAAATCTCACAGTCAAAGAAATACAAATTTTAAATTAGAATATATTAAGCATGCCTGGTAGTGATACAGCTTTTGAAGTCTTATCTCATTTCTAATGTAGAAATTTCCTGTGTCCATGGATCAGTTTTGTTTTAAATAATCTCTGAGTCCATGTCCAAATTCTATATCTCTTCCCTGTGCTGTTATGATTAATTCCTATAATTCCTCCTTCAATTTATTCTTGCAAATTCTGAGACACCATCTTGCACATAGATGGTTTCCTTGAGCTGTGTCTACTATGCGTCTTTCCACCATGTTTTTCTTTTCGCTTGATGTTCAGTAGAAACTTATTGTCTCAAGTTACTTATTTGGTAAAATGGTGACGTGCAGAACCAGGAGAGGTCAGTATATCACCATGACAAGTGTGGGTTTAATATTGTAAGAGTGGGCAGAAATGGGTCACATTTGTTTTCAGTGTTCTCAGTGTCACTGATGAATTGCTATGTATGAACAGCAGGTTATTTCCAAATCATGAACTGTTCATCTTTTTATTCTTTCAAAAGTTCCCATTGCCCCTTTTCATAGAAACTGTGCTTATAGTATTTCTTACTTTGTTTCAGTCTAGTTTGAAACTAGAAATGGCCATTTAAATTATGAACACATTAGTGTATTCAGGACTTACATTTTGTTTTTTGTATGTAAAATATTGTGCTTAGGCCTAAGGTCTAGAAATGCCTTTCAGGAATAAACAACCTAGGAGGGAAGAGAATATAAACAAATAATTTCAGTATAGTAGAAATTTTGCCTATGCTGCTGATGTTGGTAGGAACAAATTTGTGGTACCTCTCTTGAATTTAACATAGTATATATTTTTAAACTTCAAATACATGCTTTTTAAAATTTTTTTTAGGTCCCTTTCCATGTGATATATGTGGTCGTCAGTTCAATGACACTGGAAATTTGAAACGCCATATAGAATGTACTCATGGTGGCAAGAGAAAATGGACTTGCTTTATTTGTGGAAAGTCAGTACGAGAAAGGTAACGTTATCTGCACACTCAGAAAAGCGGAAGCACTTACATGTGTTATAAATTATTAATCAGGGTTATAGGAAGTAGATAACTCAGGACGCTAGGTACTCGGATTATGCTTTAGCTTAAAATGTAAAAGACAAAAAAATTACAGAAGTCATACAGAAGCCAGGATTTGCAGGTTTAGATTGTTGGTTTACTATATCCTATTTCTTTGTTACTTTATTTTCTGGAATGTCAGGGTGGCCTTGTGAACTCTTGGAAAATCTGCAGATGGATTCCATCCACAGACTCTCTTCATAGTACCTTTTAAACCTTTTACTGATCTATTTGAGTGGCAATATTGTTAGGACTGTGTGCAACTCAGATTTTCAAAAGCATGTGCTATCTTGTATAATAGGATGTGTGTGAAAAGTAAAACAGAAAGGCATGATAAACATAAGTGGTTATTTCTGAGGAGAGAAGAGGAGAATAAGAAAAGTGAGGCATTTGACAGTATGGTAATGTTCAAATTACTAACCTGAGCATATGTTTAATGCTGTTCTTGAAAAGCAGGTGTAAGTTTTACATATTTTTTTTTTTTTTTTTTTCGAGACAGGGTTTCTCTGTGTAGTTTTGGTGCCTGTCCTGGATCTCGCTCTGTATACCAAGCTGGCTTCGAACTCACAGAGATCCGCCTGGCTCTGCCTCCCAAGTGCTGGGATTAAAGGCGTGCACCGCCCGGCAGTTTTACATATTTTTGAAGCCAAGTTGAGTGACACATGTCTGTAATCTCACTACTAGGAAGGCAAAGCAGGACGCTTACAAGTTTGTCATCAGCTTGAATTACATTGTGAAACACTATGCAAAAATTAAAACCTTCAGTATATTTAAGATTCATGGCCTTCAACTTAGAATTAGAAATGCTGATTTCATAATGCAGATTATGAATATGGTAGGAGAGTTGGAAAATCATTATGCTACTTAATATGAAATCATATTTATAGATTAGAAAATTATAAATTTATTATATGGATTATAAATTTCTTTCCCCCTTATAGAATTTATATAAAAACAAAATACTCAAATGAGCCAAGAAAGAAAAACAGAACAAAACAAAGATAACACTTCTTTGTTTATTCTAGTTGCTTTTATACATAAGTTTAGAAATATCTGCAGGGGTGTTTTCCCAGAGCTGGGCATCCTCTCCTGACTAGCACTTGTCAGGTATTGGTGGTTCTTGTACATGAGCGCCATCTGCTGGCAGAGCTTCAACTCATGGCCTGCCTTTTGAAGTCACCTGATAGGGCATTGACCTGAAAGCCAAGTCAGAGTGGGTGGAGAAGCCCACAGAAGTCAGGAACACTTTCTTCTACTTCTCTCTCCCTAAATAACTTTGTCTATCCTGATTCAGGCCTTTAAGTGCGTAGAAAAACTTTCAAAGTTAGAACTACAGGTATTCTGGCAAAATGCTTGCTGAAGTACTGGTTAAACTGTAGTTCTCTGTTCTAATAGGGGGTTTGAAATCTGCATTTACTATGTACAGTGGCATTAAAAGATATATAATGTGTGTATCTATATGAGAAAATATAAGATTAAGAACTCTGGAATATATATTATATATATATGTAATTAAAAATTTTTTTAAACATAGAACTACTTTGAAAGAACATTTGAGAATACATAGTGGAGAAAAACCTCATCTTTGTAGTATCTGTGGGCAAAGTTTTCGTCATGGAAGCTCATACAGGTAAGTTACCTTCCCTTATATTAAATGAGATAAAATTACAGGTCTGCTTTAGTTGTATTTCATTATAAGTGCCTTGTTCAATTAAAGCCTTTCTTAGACTTATGATATGCAGCTAGGAAAAACATTACTGACTTTTCTTTCTATAGCTTTAAATAATTATCTTTATCTCTGTGTAAAACATTAATATTTTCTCATTAACTTTACCAAAGTCTTTACTGAACTGTCATTATTTAAATATTTAACTATTTGTCTTTGGATGAAAACAGTATTAAAACTCTTTTCCAAGCTTTGTTTATTTCTTCATCCTTCACTGTAGAAGAATATACTTATATGGAAATAAGATTAAGGACTCTGGAATTCTCAGTTTTAGGTGGCCTTCTGTGCACTGTTACTTGTTTAATTTTTTTTTATGTCCGAATGACTGTAACTGAAGGTTCTGAATTTCCCCTTAAATAGGTAGGTACTTACTAAGAAATATGTATGATTTTAATTTTTCTTAGTTAATTCTAGAATTGTAACCTTATGGCTTTAATAGCCATAGTTTCATTTATTATCTCTTTAACTGTAAAGAGATTATTTTCTCTTTGGATGTAGTCTAGTCATTTGATTGTTTTAGTTAGTGTAAAATCAACACTTGTTTTAGAAACTTGAGTAGAAAAGCTATTCATTTCACTTTGGTATACACAGAACATTATAGAAGTAAAAGAGATTCAAACTAGGTCAGTTTCAATAATCTAAACCTTTTATTGTTTATCTTTGAATTTAAAGCACCATTTTTTAATGTGAAGTAGTAAAAATGTAATTTTTATAAGTTTGAGTTCTTTTAAAATATTGTGATTTATCAGCTATCAATTTATATATAGTGTCAGTTTTCCAGAGTAGTATAATAATCAGTTGCTATTATCAGCTGTCATTATCATGTAGTTGTTTGTATACTTATCCATTTGTCCAATTCTGATTCCTGAGAATTCCTTGAGGCTCAGATCAATAACATCCACAAACATTCGGTAGAGTCTGTGAGGTAAGTTTAATATCTAAGAACTTAGGAAGTATCTAGAACTATATGGGATATGCAAATTTCAAAGTGCTCTTTGAGGAGAGGTGAATAGGAACTCCAAGATCTTTGTTTAAAACATAGAGAAGGACTCTGAAAGTCCTACAGGCAGAGCAAATGATATGCTTGAGCAGACAGCCTGTTTTCATGTTTTTAATCATTTATTTATTATCAAGCATTTTCATTCCACACAAGTTTCAACAGTCTTTGTTCTTTTACGTTTATAGGCTTCACCTAAGAGTACATCATGATGATAAAAGATATGAGTGTGATGAATGTGGAAAAACATTTATTCGCCATGACCACCTAACAAAGCACAAAAAAATACATTCAGGTAAGTTCTATTTTGTATTGCTCTTTACAAAACTGTTTAAAAAACCACTGTAGAGAACATAATATTGCTTTCTGTGTATGTTAGCTGTGGTTTTAATAGTCGAACATTTGCTGGTCACCCCTTTATAATGATGTTTTTTAAATCCTTTTTGTAAAGGCATCTGGAAATAGGTAAATAATCATATCATAACATGTTTACTGAAATTTCAAAGTTTAGTTTTGAATAAATTCTCAAAGTTTATAATTCGCATATCATGCTGATGTATTTAGCAATACTATTGGCACTTCCCTGAAGAGAAAACCGTATTTCTCACTGTGATTATATTTGAGAAGTTAGTGAAAGTCTGGTGTTTTAAAGGGACATCATTATAACTAAGTGTTAAAGTTTATGTTGTAGTGGAATTTGAAGACATGTTTGGAAAAACATTCCTTTATAGTCCTGACTGATTTTCAGATATTTACATTATAATTTCATACTCTGGGGATTTCTTTCATGTTTTCATCTCAGATTGTTGTTCAGGAAATGCTATGCGTCAACTATGTGAGTACAATAATGGGAAAGAGCCATCTCTATGTGCACAGTAGAACTGGAGTTTATCATCAGTATTATAAACATTCCTTAAATAGGAAGTGTGACAGATGGGTTTCTTTTTTTTTTTTTTTTTTTTTTTTTTTTGGTTTTTTCGAGACAGGGTTTCTCTGTGTAGCTTTGCGCCTTTTCCTGGGACTCACTTGGTAGCCCAGGCTGGCCTCGAACTCACAGAGATCCGCCTGCCTCTGCCTCCCGAGTGCTGGGATTAAAGGCGTGCGCCACCACCGCCCGGCCCTGGATGGGTTTCTTAATGATCACAGGCAGGCAAATTGTAGCTGACCTTACTTCTAAGAGATTAAAGGTCTGATGACATTTTAATTAAGATAATGCATTTTCATTTCTGTGAGGGAATTCTAAGTTTGTAATTCTAGAAGTCACATGCATTAATTGCACATTGGTATTGAGACAATGGTGTTTAATGATCAACCTTTGAATGGAAATGTAATAATAGGTAATCAACTGGAGTTTTCATTGTATTTATACTTTTGCTCATTGCAAATGTAAGAAATCCTGGTAGATGAAATATACTTTTAAAATACAAAGATCTGAAAATGTTCAGGTATTTTTTCTAAGTACTGAAATAGTTCATCTGAATTTAATATATGTTCATTTGAGGTGTTTCATATCTAGATATGTTTTTCTAATCAACATCTTGGGTTTGAAGTAATTTTATTTATCTTGTTCTGCATTGAAAGGTAAGGTTAGCTGTCTACTACAAAAGGTTACTAATTTCTCCATGTGAGCAAACATCCACATTCATGAAATTAGGTATGAGTTCTTTGGGAAATGTTGTTGGTTGTTTTTACTATTTGCTCTTTTGTGGGGCCCACCACCCAGCTCCTGAATAAATCATACACAGAGGCTTAGTTTTAAATATAAATGCCTGGCCTTACTTTGGCTTGTTTCTAGCCAGCTTTTCTTAAATGATCTCATCTGTCCTTTGCCTCTGGGCTTTTTCCTTCTCTTACTTCTGCAATCTTACATTCACTCTCACTCCGAGGCTGCTGTGTGACTGGGTTGCTGGCCCCTGTTCTCCTCCTCCTCCTCTGGCTACTTCTTCTCTCCTCCCCTATTTCTTCTGTTTCTTCTCTCTGCCTGCCTGCCCTGCCTATTTTTCTCTCCTGCCTCACCATTGGCCATTCAGTTCTTTATTAAACCATCAGGTGTTTTAGACATGCACAGCAACACAGCTTCACAGAGTTAAACAAATGGAACATAAAGAAAAGTAACACACCTTAAAATATTATTCTACAACAGGGAAAGATAACTGAATGAATGATATAGAGGAAATAACCGAGATTAAAGGGTGGCTTTGTTTTCCTGGTATTCCATCAAATAATCTTACTGTTTGGTCATTATTTCTGGAGAAAAAAAGAAAATTTAAATGCCTATTATGGTAAAAGAAATATGTGTGCCTTTGTTTTCAGGTGAGAAGGCTCATCAGTGTGAAGAATGTGGAAAGTGTTTTGGTCGGAGGGATCATCTCACTGTTCATTACAAGAGTGTGCATCTGGGAGAGAAGGTGTGGCAAAAGTGAGTGAAAGAGGAACTTTCCTCTTTACTACTGTTGGCAGTGTCATGGAGGGAGAAAAATTTACATTTCCTTTATTCTATTTAATTTGGAACAAGTTAATCATCTCTCTCTTTCTGGTTTCTATATTCCTCTAAAGTCTTAAAAGAAGTGTCCACATACACACACAGACACACATTTGGGTGCACTGTTTTTACCTGCCTCAAAGACTAGCCATTGACTCAAATGCTACTCATTCTACAGATGTCATAGTCCTGACAATTAAAATTTGATTTTGACCTTAATATTTGTTAGGCATTCTACTATGCCACTAACTATGTTAACTTTGGGGCCAATTACAGATTTACTTGTATCTGTGTATAATAAGAAGAAAGGATTCACATTTTATTTCTTTTTATTTAGGCATGAAGTTTGGTAGGTGAACTAATGAGAGCCATGTAAATGTCATTCAATGAATGCAGCTTTTGAGATTATTTCAGTTTCTTTTAATCAGGCTCAGTATTTGTCTCTTTAATTAACTGAGTTATAATTTACTTAAGGTGAAACTCAGCCTGTTTAGTGTGTATTTCTACAGTCTAATAATCATTGCCATCAGAATGTAGAATATTCTAATTATCATAATTTTTTGTCCTAAACCTCTTTCCCATTTAGCCCAGTAGTGATGTATTTTTATTCTTTTCTCTACATTCTTTCCTTTGTTTATTTAATAGCTAATTAAAAGTTGGGTTGATTTAAGACATTCTGAAGTTTTATTCTTACAAGTGTCTTTTGAGAAGTTCTTCTATTAAATATAACTGGAGGAAGCCCCTTGTTTTAAAAGTACCTCTGTTCCTCCAGGCTTGTATGCTTTATGTGACATTTGTCTGTATAGTTTTAGAGTTTTCAATTTTTTTTTATTATTGATACAAGTTACATAGATGAACCATTTACTTTCTTAGATATAAAGCAACATTTCATCAATGTGATGTTTGTAAGAAGATTTTCAAAGGAAAATCAAGTCTGGAAATGCATTTTCGGACACATTCAGGTAAAACTTAAGGGAACTCTGTGCAGATCTTTGTGTAACTACTTAATAATACAATATATCCATATGTATTATTCTTGACTCAAATGTTTACATACAATATTTTTATTAAAGTTCATGTCATGAATAGGAAGTGTTTTTATTTTCTTCTCAATTTTAAGAATTTGGGAAACTGTTTTCTGTAGAGAATAGCCCAGGCTATTCTCTTTTCTCCTTTTCTTTTGCCCTGTGCTTCTCCTGGGTGAGCTCTGTAAGGGTTTCTTAGGCTTCTGTTGCCGTTATCTTCTCTTTGAAAGGAGTTGTGCACGTATCTCCTGACTCACAGCAAGTCCTAGTGTATGTGTTTGTTTCTCACACAGCTGCTTGTGGCCCTTAGGCAGGTGTGGTACAATTCTCTCCTTTTGATGCATTCCACTCACTCACCTAGAATGAAGTATAGGGTACATTGATTTCACTTTTCCCTCATATATGGAAATTGAAGATTTATAGTTTTTTTCTTAAATTAAGAAGTATGGCTGGGCAGTGGTGGCGCAAGCCTTTAATCCCAGCACTTGGGAGGCAGAGGCAGGTGGATCTCTGTGAGTTCAAGGCCAGCCTGGTCTACAAAGTGAGTTCCAGGACAGGCTCCAAAGCTACACAGGGAAACCCTGTCTCGAAAAACCAAAAGAAAAAAAAAATATGTTTATGTACTTAAAACTTCTTTGTTTCATACTCAATTTGTATATTTTAAGCTGCTGTTCTGAAAGAGACAAATTATATCATGAATGTTATAGTAGAAGGAGCTTAATTTGGATAATTTTAAATATCAAATAGTTTCTAGTAAAGATTTATTACTGATACAGTGATGTTGCTAAAAGCAAAATTATATGCTTCCAATGAACAAGTTTTAGGAGTGCATACATAGGAGTATAAACTGAAGAAACTTTGTTAATGCTGTTTTTCAGATCAGTCATAAGTAAAAACCAAATAGAACATAAAAAACAGATAATGAACACACAGAAAATTAAATTGAGACTATTGATAGTTTAATTCATAGCAGTTGAAATGTATCTGGCTATTACATACTTGGTGTGAAATAGAGACATCCTTCCAGTCTTTGACAGTTGAAATGAACCCTATCATAGAGTGAAACAGCTACTGTAGCTATGATGGAATATAAGGGGAAGAAATAATCTAAAGCAAAAGGCAGCAAGTATTTGTAAAGAGCCAGATAATAAATAGATACTCCAGACTGTTTCTGTCATAGTCACTTAACCATGTTCCTGTAGCACAAGAGTAGCTGTAGGTATTATTACAAGTGGATGCATCTGTGTTCATTAAAACTATAAAAGCAGCCATCAGTCTAGATTTGACTTCCTGAGATCTCTAGATAGGACTTGACAAAGTGACTCTTCCAAAAATGGATTACATAGTTTCCTAAATCCACAACCCAGCTTTATCTGAGCATGAGAGTTAATATTTTGTATACTTTGTGATGATCATTGAAAGGCATTATCCCAAATGTCAGCTTATCAACTCATATTCCAGAAAATGAGTTCTTAATGTTTCCTGGGTAGAGCACCCTTATTCAGGAAATAGAATTGCTAAATTTATGAGAGGAGGAATTGCCAATTTTTTTTTTTTTTTTTTTTTTTTTTTTCGAGACAGGGTTTCTCTGTGTAGCCTTGTGCCTTATCTGGAACTCACTCTGTAGCCCAGGCTGGCCTTGAACTCACAGAGATCTGCCTGGCTCTCTGTGATTAAAGGCGTGCGCCACCACTACCCGGCAAATTGCCAGTTGTATAGTAATTTTATAGTATGGTTTAACTAGAGGATGGTGAAGAATATTGAACCACCCTTACTGAAGTGACCAGCAGTGCCCCTTTGGTGATGCCTGGGGAGATAGATTAGGTGGTTATGTCCTTGCTTTATAAACAGAAGGACCCAATCTTGATTCCTAGAACCTGTATATAAAGGCTGATGTGGCGGCACCCATTGTAATTTCATCAAGGGAGGTGGTCTTCGGAGAAATGAAGACAGGCAGGTCCCAGGTCCAGCTTAGGTTACTTATACAGCTTCAGGCCAATGAAGATACTCTGTCTCAAAAACAAACAAAATAACAGGCTGGACATACCTGAGGTTGACTTCTGGCTTTCACAAATGTTTATACACACCTCTACCCACATGAACATGTATGCATATATAGACAATCAACGATTTTACTCTCTAGATTTTTTTTTTTGTCTTGAAATCCTTAGGGCATTACATGTTCTTGGGTTTTATGATCTCCTTACTTAGTTTTTTGTGATATGTTAGTATGTCATTTCTGCAACAAGGTACAATATAGGTTATTTTCAGTTTGAATTTATCTTGCTTTCCTATGACGAACATCTAGTCTTGCTTTCAACTACAAAAATGAGAGAAATTAGTTGGGAAGTTCCTAAGATTTTCTTCTACAGATAGATTATTCTTACCCATTTCTTTGGCTTGTGCAGTTCTCAGAATGTATACATACATAAATACATACATACATAAATACATACATACATACATTCTCCTCACAGTCTTGTTGGAATGTAATGTATTAGTTAAAATTAGCATAAGGATGACAAGATAGATGCTTAGGGCTTGATTTTCAGTTTCTTTTCTTTTTCTTTCTTATTTTCTTTTTTGAAGTTCAACATGAATTGTTCTTATAAACTATTTTTATTGAAGATAGCTCATAAAGTGCACAAATCTTAATGAAAAGTCCAGTATACTTTTTATGATGAATTCATGAATGTTGTCACTATTCTGATCATGTTATATAATAGTAGTAGGCTGTTAAAAGCATCCTCATAACCGCTCTTGCTGAGTAACATCCTTGAAAGATGGCTATTTTGATTTACATTACCAAAAATTAATTTTCCCTGCTTGAATTTCATATAATGTAATGTCTTTTTCTTTTTTGGGGGGGCCCGCCACCCAGATACCAAATAAATCACACATGGAGACATAATCTTACTTATGAACGCCTGGCCTTAGCTTGGCTTTTTTTCTTGCCAGCTTTCCTTAACTTAAATTACCCTGTCTGTCTTTTGCCTCTGGTCTTTTCCTGTTCTCTTACTTCTGTAAATCTTACTCTCACTCCATGGCTTGCTGTGTAGCTGGGTGGCTGACTCCTGGAGTCCTCTTCCTTCTCTGGCTACTGCTTCTCTCCCCCAGATTTCTCCTTCTGTTTATCCTCTCTGCCTTCCAGCCCCGCCTATCCTTTCTCCTGTTTTGCTATTGGCAGTTCAGCTCTTTATTAGACTATCAGGTGTTTTAGACAGGCAAAGTAAATACAGCTTCATAGAGTTAAACAAATGCAACATAAAAGTAACACACTTTAATATTCTACAACAATGTAATCTTATGTTTATTCCCTTTTCATTTTTCTTTTTGTGGTGAGTAAATCCAGCTTTTTTGTCTCATTTTTTGGGTGGATTTTTTTTCTCGATTAGTGTCTACTTTCTAGGAAAAATAAGATCATCACCTTTTAGGGTGCACAAATGCCTTTTAATGTCCCTCTTTTCCTTCCATAGAATTTAATTTTATAGGTATTTTAATAGAACTTGGGACATATGAGGACTTTTGGGGGTGTGGGGGCATTTGAAATTGAACCCTGGGCCTTACGTTTGTGAGGCAAGTCCTCTACCACTGCTACATCCCCAGCACAAGCTTAAGCACTGTTAACATTTGCTGCCCCTTCCTGTGTTACTGTTCTCCACCTTCTCCTGATAACACAGTTATCCTCACTGTGGCGTTCACCTTCCTTGCCTGCTTGCTCCCTCCCATTTTCAAAGCTAGCAATTTGGAGTTGAGTTCTGTCACATCTGACTTACCCTTCATTAATCATCAGCCACTTTCTAAAGTCTCCTGAAGTTATTTGGCTCCCTTGATAATCCAATCAATCTGCCCATTTTTTTTTTTTTTTGGATTTTTCGAGACAGGGTTTCTCTGTGTAGCTTTGCGCCTTTCCTGGAACTCACTTGGTAGTCCAGGCTGGCCTCGAACTCATAGAGATCCTTCTGGCTCTGCCTCCCGAGTGCTGGGATTAAAGGCGTGCGCCACCACCGCCCGGCACAATCTGCCCATTTTTAGTTTTAACTTTAGCACACTGCAAAGCCTGTTTTACTGTGTAAAGTAAATATTCATGGCTTCTGTGGATTAGAACGCATATGCCTTTAAGGGGTTATTATTCTGCCTAGCACTTTGGTTGTGCTAGGAATTTTTTTTTTAATAAAAAAATCAAAAGAAAACTACAGTGTAAGAACCTAACTGCAGAAGAATCAGGAACTGATTTGGTATTCTTAATTATTTTCCCCAATGAAATTTAAAAGTTTTGATCTCTTGTTAGAAACCAGTGTTACTACTTTTTGTTCACCTCTCCTAAAAAAACAAAAACAAAAACAAAAGTCAATTAAGAGTTTTTCTTTTGGTCTTTATATAGTTTATAGGTAGAAGGATATCAAATGTTTCAGTTTCAAAAAACTTTTGTGGTTTTTTTTTTTTCAGTAGGAATAAAGTAATAGTAAGCAATAATAAGGTTTATTAAGCACTCAAGACACTGAGAATAGGGCTAAGCAGTTACTTTACTTCCTTTTTTAGGCACTACATTGCAGGTAGGGAACTAGGCTTAAAAGTCTGTCTACTAAATAGTTTATTCAGGACTTAAGCCCAGAACATTTTGATGTTTAATTCACTATCTTTATGAATTTGATAGACTTTCTTCATTTATGATTGCTTAAAATACTACTGTTTTTACCAAGGTTTTAACAAGTATGCATGTGAAAAATTTGCTATTTAAATTACCATCTTATCAAATGGGTACATTATACATTAATTTTACTTTTGTTCATATATTTGTTTATTTTTCACAGGTGAAAAACCATACAAGTGTCAAATTTGCAATCAGTCTTTTAGAATTAAGAAAACTTTAACAAAACACCTGGTTATTCACTCTGATGCCCGACCTTTCAATTGTCAACACTGCAATGCAACATTTAAGCGGAAGGACAAGCTGAAATACCACATTGACCATGTTCATGGGATAAAATCTCCTGATGATTCTCTCAGTACTTCTGAGGAAAAACTCGTCTCTTTGCCAACAATAGAGTACTCATCTGAGGATAAGATCTTTCAAGCAGAGACAAAACAATATCTGGACCAGCCCAAAGTTTATCAGCCAGAAGCCAAGACTATGCTACAGAATGTGTCTGCAGAAGTATGTGTTCCAGTAACATTGGTTCCAGTTCAAATGCCTGACACATCCAGTGATCTGGTGCCTCATACCACCACACTTCCCCCATCATCCCATGAGATTCTGCCACCACAGCCGCAGCCAACTGATTATCCACGGGCAGCAGATTTAGCTTTTCTGGAAAAATACACTCTTACTCCTCAGCCTGCAAATATAGTTCACCCAGTCCGACCTGAACAGATGCTAGATCCTAGAGAACCGTCTTATCTTGGAACATTATTGGGCCTTGATAGCACAACTGCTGTCCAGAATATGTCCAGTAGTGAGCATCGCTCATGAGTAAACATTCCATAGACCTTGATGCTTGTATGCTGACAGCCAGAAACTACTGGCTTTTCAATTAGTAGGGCTGCTATTTTTTTTTTCATTTTTTTTTTCTAGTTTCTCAAGTCTTCAGAACAGCTTCAAATCAAGAAAAGTTTATTTCTATTGACTGAATACTTGGACACATTTTGTCATAATATTTGAAGTATGATTTTTTAAAAGATTATTTAGTACTAATTTTGAATGGATTTTTAAATTTCAGATTATTAGCTGCTGAAAATGGTGGAGGTATTTTTTAAATCATCAATGGAATTTTTCTATTCCTTTACCTTTTTTTTTTTTTTTTTTTTGAGACAGGGTCTTCGACTGTAGCCCAGGGTGGCCTCAATTTGTGGCAATCTTTCTGCCTTAGCCAACCAGGTGTGAGCCCCAAGCCAAAGTTTACTTTTAGTCAGCTCTTTTCTCCCTTCCCCATATTGCTATGAAGTTTGAAGGACCATGTCGCCTATAGGAAGGAGTGTAAGCATGTCCAAAATTGCAAACTTTTAATACTAATTAAATACCATTATTTCATTCAGATTTTCAAAGTTGAGATTTGAAATTTCTTACATGTTCATGTAAGAAAATCTTGGTATTTCTATCTTGTCATCTATTCATTATTTTTGTCATTATATTTGGGGTTTTCACAAGCTGAAAGCTAAAAGCTAACAAATATAAGATTAGGATGCTAAATAAAAGGTAAGATAATTATTTTAATCCAGATAATTGGACCTGCACTCAACTATGATGAATAATAAATACAAATAGATCTAGGCATTAGATTACCTAATTGAATATATAATAATGAAAAATATGACAGTTTTACCTAGATACCATCAAGACACATGCATGTCTTGTATTTGGTCATTTATTCCACATTCACAGTATGTTTCAGCATCTAGATGAGTATAGAAGGGACAGATGTAACTAAATTGATGACGGTTTAATTAAATAATGTATTTAGTGTCATTTACAAAATTTGGCTGACTGAAATAGGGAAATGGAACCTAGATGTTTTATATATAATGTCAGAAAAGGTGCCAAACCCATTCTCAAATTTGCCCCAAATTTAACATAATTAGTTTTTCAGCTGAATGCACTACTATCTGTATACAGATTTACACTCAAGCCAGAACTTTAATTTTGCTTCCTTATGAGATCTGTTTCTAATCTTCAGTCTTGTTTTTAGATGAGACAATAATTGAAAGCTTGGTGAAAGGAAATAGCAATCACAGGAACACCTCACTGGTGAAATTTAAGTGAAGAAAAAGCCTGCCAAAATTAGAAAAATACCTTTAAAGATGTGCACTTTGCATTTTTTTTCTCTTTTAACTCAATTTCTACTTAACCTAGGATGAGGTTTTCCTGGTGGGGTTGCTTGAGGGTTAGACTAGGCAGAGTTGACTTACTGTTAACATGCAGTTTGTATGTAAACTACTGGAAAATTAGCAGTTTTTAAAATTTTCTATTTCAATTTGTTTACACTCCTAATTGCTTTTAGCACTTTTTTGTGTGTAAACTGTAAAGTCTTGCCTAGCCCTTGTGGGTTTTGAAAACATATCACAAATAAAATAATGAACTTTTAGTGAATAAAACTTAATCAATAATGAGGAAAATGTTTAAGCACTTAAGAAATGAAGGTACTTTATAGGAACAGTTGCCATAGTGATGTTCAAACAAAGAGCATGTTGCAAATTGAGGCATTAACCAAAGTAGCTGATATAAATAATAAAGGTAACCTGAGTTTTGCCTCACTTATGGAAGTTTGGTTGTAATTGTCTTTGAACCAGTTGACTTAATTTCATATTATTTCTTATTGTTAAAGCATTCTTATTTACTTCGTGTGGAAATGTTCTATGGGAACTAATGATGGAGCTGGACTCTGAGGCACTGAGTCCTAGACTTTCAAATCAAGTATCAACACGGATTTATGATTTTTATCCTAAAGGCAGATAAGATTTTAACTAAATATCCTATTGAAATTAAAACATCATACCTATAAATATAGTTTGCCTTAGAGATAAGCTACTGCAGAAAAATTCGGGTTTATCAAAAAAGGCAAATGCCCTATATGTGTGTTATGTGCATGATATATTGTGTATTTTGGCAGAAAAGGAGGATACAACATTTCCACAGTGAAAATAATACCTGGGGTTTTGAAAGTATTTAAGATTCTTTTAATAATGATGTTCTAATACTTTAAATATATGATTTAATTTAGGAATTGGTTTACTTAGGACTTTTCAAGAATATAGCTCTTATGTAAAGTGAAATACAGTTGTATAATTGTACTTAGTTGTTACTGTAGATAAGCTGGAATACTGTATTATTGAAAACATTTTTACATGTTATCTCATTTGAACCTTGTAAGCAGTTCTGAACTAGAAAGGGAATGATGTATGTCCGTGTTATAGAGAAAGTACTAATTGAACTCTGGTGGCAGACTGCAATTCACAGAAGAAGAAGATGTAGCATTAATGAATGCATACTATGTGCCAGGCACTACATTCTTTTGTTCCTAATGCAGTCTAGAAGTAGTCAATATAATGCTTAGAAGAAATAAGTAAAACCACAATAGTGGGAAAATTACTTTGCTTCCTCTAGTTTCCAAAAATGTAAGAACATGGATTTGGATGAACTGAATGTATATTAGCTCTCAAAGTAGGCACGAAAATTATAAAATGAGCCCCACTCTTCTTAGTTCACCTTTCTATGACTCTAAAATCATTATTTTGTAACTAAGCTTAAAATTTTGAATCTCACAACTAAGTTTAGCCTCATTGTGAATATTTTATTTTGTGAGTATAATTTATTGTTTTAAATTAATTTTTGATAGATAACAGTTAGCACTTAATCTGTAAATTGAATAAGTTATTGAGTACAGAAATTTATTAACTTACTATCGCCGACTTAATGCACCAAAGATTTTGAGTAGGTATTGGGTAGTTTAAAAGAATTTAAATTCTTTGTTGTTTGACTATATCTTTGTCCAAAGAAGCACAGTTGAAGTCCTTGGATAATAGATTTAAAAACAATTGTTAGTTTGAATACTGAGATTAAGTATTAAATGTTTGTGTTTATGTGTATAAAATAAGTAGGGAAACTACTCTGGGAACAGTCACACTGACCAGCCAGTTACAAGTTAGAATACTCATTTCTCTCAGTTTAGTTGGATGCAGTTTTTTAATGAACACTATTGAATAATAAGCTTATATTTTACACTACATTACAAAAATAATTTCTGCCTTAGATTTTTTTTTTTCTCCAGATCAAGATGAAGTTATTTTTATAAGAAACTCTTTGGTTTTGGCAGCCTAAAATACCACTTAACCATAGGGTTTGTTCCTTAGGCCAGCAAGACACCTTCAAGCAACTACAAAAGTAGTACAGTTTGCAGACTTTTAATTTAGACCTTTACTGCTGGGGAAAAGAGGAATATAACTAGCATTTTCAACTGGTGCTTTAATAAAGTGACTGCCTTTTAAGTGATGGTAGCATAAAAGAAGTGTACTAATTTCTCTCAACCTTAAAAAGTGTCAAAAACACCTTTGTGGAGTGACTATAAAGTGTTAAGGGCTAATAAATACCATCCATTGTTTTCACTCAATCACATCCTAATTCAACACAATTAACCTGGTATGTTTATGAACTTGAATGTTGTTCTTACCATATCACTCTAATTTATTATTGACAGAAGAGGTTTGGAGCATTAGTTCTTTAAGAGTGTTCTTTTAGACCGTCTTTTCTGGATTGAGTACTTCGTACTTTTTCAGAGATTTGTAGTTTTGTAGTGTTGTTTTGGCTCCCTAGAGTGTACTGGTAAATAAATGGCTTGTTTGTTTTGTTTTATTTTTTGGTTCTGAGTCTTATGTTTGTGTTGCCTGCTGGCTGGGCAGCCTTTTACATAGTTTTATGTTAACTTAGAAAATTGGCATTAAGTGACAGTGTGAACATTGGTTTTTATGATTTACATGTCATTTTTTTAAAGTTTCTACTGTGGCCTTAATGGTTACTGGAGTCACTCCTCAGCCTGTCTACATGCTTAGAACAATCTAACAGCAGGAATAGTACCTCTGCCCCTCATGTCACCCTCTATCTCTGATTGCTCTCTTAAGTAACTTGTTGTCATGAGCACACAGCTCTGCACTGAAGACTTAGTTCACTTTCCCTGAACTGAACATGATTGATGGTGTGAGAAGAGCTGCTCTTAGGGAGCAGCAGCATCCCAGTCTACGCAGAACTTGAGTTGATGACTCAGAAAAAAGCACGACCTTTCAACAGAGTCATGTTTGGACATTTTAAGATTTAGTGCCAAATTGAAAAAGACTGAAAATGAATTATTTAATAAGGAGTAAGTAGTGTTTCTAAATCTTTAAGTGGAATTACGTTAAATGTTACCTATTAGCGTGAATAATGGATGAGAATAATTTTCTACACAGCATATAGGAACTAGACAGTTCTACATATTCCACTCATTTCTTTTGCACATTTCTCTTTTAAGTTTTCTGCAAGTGTTCCTTTTTTGGGTATCCTCCCATATTTATACAATTTTTACTTACGATACTTCCGCTGTGGTATCAGCATGCTTTCTGCGCTTCCTCTTTGGAAGTAGATCACTATGATAAAAGCAATAGGATTAGATAGTGTGGAAGATGAGAGGAGGGATGATTTTGTAGAGAAGGTGTGTTTATGTTTTAACTTGCTGTATATTGATCTTGAGTCTGTCCTTTGAAAGATCCCCAAACCAGTTAGTCTCTGCAGCCATTTATTTAGAGAGAATTTAAGGATGTTATTTGGAGAATAGATGTTATTCAAAGATGAAAACCTTTATAAAAGCATTTCAGATTCTTAAGTAAAGCCAAGTAATTTCAATGCTTGTGTTCCTGCTGGAGATTTTGAAATGTCTGGCATGAAGAGCATGTGCACATCTCACTGTCACCATGCCTCTCTGTTTGATGTTCCTGCTTGCATAAAATGAATAATGTACTGTGGTGTAATTATAGAAAGTCCTTTATTCAACAATCAGACTTTTCTCCTTGTAAGTAAAACTGTATTACAGTTGATGAGAGTGATTGCCAAAACATTACACAAGCTGGGTGTTTAGTTGCTCTATGTTGTGTCAAAACTGTTCTGTTTAAGGGAGGGATGATGCATATTAAAATGAAAATGCTTTTGTTTTCTGTTTCAAATCATAACTTTTGTTTTTAATTAAGGACATTTAAAAGTAATTACAAAGGATAATCTAAAATATCAGAATTCATTATTTTCCATTGTATGTTAAATGTCGAGTTTAGTAGATATTTTGTTTGTCTTGTGTTTCTTAAGTGTGAATGTCTTTAGAGCAGAAATTCAGTTCTTTGTGAGTAGTAGGCGTCATCTTGCATATTGAATTTGTTCTTTGTGTTATTTTGATATTTTAAATAAACAGAGTTCTTTGGTCCTAGTAAAGCATATCCAGGTTCCTTTCAAATTGTTTTCAGAGTACGGAACACAGTGTTCTGCATGCCTCTATAAAATGAAAACCATGAATAAGTAGAACACCAAATATCTTGGGGACATTTTTGAAACATAATTCTAATCAATTACATATTATTTAAAATACATTATTTATATATGTATATATTATTAAATATATACATTAGTAGACCTTAAATTTTAAGTGTTTTATATAAATTCAAGTATCAGTGGTGACTATTTTGTTTGAAATAGTCATTGATTTTGGAGAAGTCTAAAGTGTAGCTAAACTCTATTAGTGAAATAAGATATCCTATATATAATTAAAAATGAGCATTCTTAACCTCTCTCTTGCTCATTCCTGCAACTATTCATTCTGTTTTTGGGGAGAAATGCTTGCTGTAAAATGTTAGTGCCTCTATAGGATGCCACTTAAACCTTACAAACTAATCTCCATTTCTGTTACAGCTCTCATTGGGCCATCACAATTTGATCATGGCTATGGAGCAAGGCCCTGTCTAAAAACAAAACAACCCAACAACATGCTAACAGTTTTCTTTACATCTCTGTTCAGCCCAGTAAATGTACAGAGGAAAGCCGATTAATTCTGGGCAGGCATATCAGATAAGAAGGCATGGTTTATATAAAATTTCTTGGCTGACTTAACAGTTGTGTCTGGTTATGTGTGGCAAGCAGGAGTGTCAAACTTTCTGACACAGTGGCAAAATACTGGTAAACCGCACAAGTTATAAAAAAGCAAAACTCATATTGACTCTACTGACAGAAAATCAAAATTCTCACCTCAAAAGTGTCTTTTTCTTTTGGTCCCATTTTATCAGCTTATTCAGAAGTCAAATATGAGTGACCATGGCATAGGGACATATTTCTAGGTTATTCCAAATTCCATGTTCCAACGTGGTAACAATTTGATGAAGTTTTTACAGTACTCAAAGGCATTTTTCAAATAATAGGTGGAAACATTAAATAGGTATGTTAAGGCAAAAGGGAAACCTGTCACAGCCGCGGATGCTGGCAGTAGTCAGGGTTGGAAAACCAGTACTCTGTACGTTAGAGTTAATTTACACAATGGTCACAATGCTGTTAGGTCACTTACAAAGGATGACAAGACATGGCTATTAAGAGGGCAAACGATGTTCCCCAACAATTATTAGATTTGACCTCCAATTTCTAACCTTTCCATAATCTGACTTTCTAATTCTCCGTCTTGCCCAGCATTTGTTAAAGGTGCCAGTTCTTCCCGGGAAACTGTGGTTCACAAGTTTCAGTCAGTTATTCTGGACCGTATGCAGCCGTGGGTTGGACACGGTGATGATACCTTTTCCTCCATCGTAGCGTATTTAAAACATCAAAGGCAATTTCATTTCTAAGCCAATTCACGGAATTTTGCTGCCTTTTCAATCTCCAAGCAGCCGTGACAGTCTGGCCATCATTTAAACAAGGCGCCGCGGTCCCATTGGCCAGGAGCTCTCGCTCACTCATTGGTTCTTTAGTAGATGTGGGCGGTTGTCTACTCACTGATTGGCCAGCTCGCGAGGGGGCAGTGATCTGCTCTCTGATTGGTGCGCTAGCAAGGCGGTTCTCGGAGCTGCCATTGGTGGAGGCCAGATATTTGAACCGTAGCAAAAGCGGCTAGGCTACTTTGCTCGGGGTTTGGTGGTCTGTGGCTTTCTGATCTTTGTCCTGATCCCCGCTTTCTGGGCTGGCGGCGGGACGCGGGCAGCGGGTAGCAGACCGCCCGGAGCGGGGCGGCTGCCATGGCGACCCGGCAAGCCGCTTACAACCCGGAGGAGAGCGGGCGGCGCGCGCCCCGGGATCCGGAGACGGGGGATTCGTCCCCGCCGGTGCTGTTGCTCAGCCACTTCTGTGCCGCTCCGTTCCTCTGCTTTGGGGACGTCCGCGTGGGCACCTCACGGACGCGGTCTCTGGTCCTGCAAAACCCGCACGAGGAGCCTCTGCAGGTGGAGCTGTGGCTGCTGCGCGCCGCAGGCCAGGGCTTCAGCGTGGTGCCGAGCCGCTGTGAGCTGAAGGTGGGTGTGAGGGGCACGTCCCCGTGGCGTGGCGCCCTTGGCATACAGCGAGAAACTCGGAGAAAAACTAAGTCAGCTCCCAGCCGTGACGGTGGGGTATTCTGCTGTTTATGTGGGGCTGGGAGATGAAGGCACTCCAACCCTAGGTCAACTTCCTGTTTTGATTCTGGGACACTCCCTTTGCAGGGTAGGGCTGGGATTAGAGCAGGACCCTGACACCAAGTCAACTCCTCGTCTTGACTGTGGATGGGCTTTGGTGCTGTGTGATTTGTGTGAATACATGGCAAAAGTGGGCAGTAACTTGCTCGGGGTGATGAACCAAAGCGCGTGCACCTGCCATCCGTAGACGCATTTCAGAAACTTTCTGTTACACGTTTTTAATAGACTTTTGGCAGTCTTTGCAAAATATGTTTGGGGTTTGGCATTCTGTGTTTTGAGATTAGGAGTTGTACATTGATGGGAATTTTCTAATTGCTTCCTTTCAGCCATTTTAATATGCATTTTATTTTTCATATGTATGTTTAGAGAGAGTGGAGCTAACTACATTTCTGTTGCAATAATGAACTGTTTTGCTTAAACATTCACAGAAAACACTCTAAAAGCATCCTTAGAATTGTACTCAATATGTATATGGTTATGTGTAGGCACACCTTTGTATTTTACTCTTTTTTCTTTCTTTCTTTCTTTCGTTTTTCTCTTTGCTGTCAAGGTAGAGTTAAAAAGTTTCGTTCTGACTATGATTACTGTCCTTTTCATTGAGTAGACCCTCAAAAGCTGTGAAAACAATTAGCTGAGGAGGTCTGCACAAATCCCTTGGTAACAAGTAAGGAAGGTCTTCAGGGAAAGGCTAATCGAGATTGGCTGCATCATCAGGAGTCCTGGCACTTCAGAAACCGTTACCCCTCTGCCTATAGAAGGACTTTCTTTCAATTCTTTTTTTTTTTTTTTTTTTTGGTTTTTCGAGACAAGGTTTCTCTGTGTAGCTTTGCGCCTTTCCTGGAACTCGCTTTGGAGACCAGGCTGGCCTCGAACTCACACAGATCCGCCTGCCTCTGCCTCCTGAGTGCTGGGATTAAAGGCATGCACCACCACCGCCCAGCCCCTCTTCAATTCTTGTACTTACTCCATTTTGTTATAATATAGAAGTAAAGTTCTTATTTTTTTTCTAAGGATAAGTGCTGGCTTGTAGAGGAAAAATTCTCCATTATTTTTAATGAGCTGCTTGAAAAATCTATGATTTCCACTTTTCAAGAAAAGTTTATCTTTTTAAGTTAAGGTTCCTGCCACCATGCTTGGCAACTTAGGCTGCTCAAAGCATACACTTTACTAGTGAGCTAGGTCTCTAGTCCCCACAGCTATGTTTTTAAAACCAACCAATTAAAATGACTTGTAGATTATCAGTTTTTTGCTTTTGTGCAATTAGATTTTGTTATAATTTTATAGTTTTCATTTATAATTTTATTTTGTTGTGGGCTTTTATTGCTAGTAGTTTTTTTTTTTTCCTTACAATGAACTAGCATAGAAAAATAAAAGTAGCAAAAAAATATTTAACCCTATTAGGGTATTGTAACACTAGTTATATATAGTGCATTTGATTTTTTTTATCCAAACTCAATTTTTATTATTACCTGTTAATTAAATCATAATTAACTAAACACCCAAAGTCACAATTTCCTCACTGTAAAATGAATTAGGTTGAACTTCTTTTTTCTTTTTATTGTGCAATTCTTTTTAAAAAAATTTTTTTAAGATTCATTTTACATACCAACCACAAATCCCTCTCTCATCCCTCCTCCCACTAACCGCCCCCCCCTCCCCTTTCCTCCTCCCACCCATCATGCCCTCCTCTAACAGGGTAAGTTCTCCCATGAGGGGCACAGCTAAGCCTGGTACATTCAGTTGAAGCAGGACCAAGCCCCTCCCCACTTTATCAAGTCTGAGCAAGGTGTCTGACCATAGGTAACGGGATCCAGAAAACCAGCTCATGCACCAGGTATAGATCCTGATTACACTGCCAGGGGACCCTCAAACAGACCCAGCTACACATCTGTCTCCTGTCTGCAGAGGGTCTAGTCCGGTCCCATTCAGGTTCCACAGCTGTCGGTCTAAAGTTTGTGAGTTCCTTTGAGCTTGATTCAGTTGTCTCTTTAGATTTCCCTTTCATGATCTTGACCCCCATTTGCTCATGTAATCCCTCTTCCCTCTCTTCAACTGAACTCCCAGAGCTCTGCCTGGTGTATGGTTGTGGATCTCTGCTCTGTTTCCATCAGTTACTGCATGAAGGCTCTATGATGACAGTTAGGATATTCACCAATTTGATTACCAGGGAGGCTAGTTCAGGCACCCTCACCACTGTTGCTAAGTAGTCTAATCTGGAGTCATCCTTGTGGATTCCCTAGTACCAAGTTTCTCCCTTACCCCGTAATGTCTCCCTCTATCAATATATCTCCTTCATCGCTCTCCCACTCCATCTGTCTCCCAGCTCAACCATCCCATTCCCTCATGTTCTCATTACCATTCCCTATCCTCTATTGCCCCCCCCCCATCCCCATCCTCAGTTTACTCATCTGGATTTCCTCTGTTTCTCCTTCCCAAGGTGATCAATACATCCCTCTTAGGATCCTCCTTGTTTCCTAGCTTCTTTGGAGCTGTGAGTTGTAATCTGGTTATCCTTTGTTTTACAACTATTATGCACTTATGAGTGAGTTGTCTTTCTGAGTCTGGATTATCTCACTCAGGATGATATTTTCTAGTTCTATCCATTTGCCTGCAAATTTCATGATGTCATTGTTTTTTTTTTCATTCATGTCCACAGTGTATTTTTTTCGTTTTTCTTTATTAAGAATTTTTCTACTCACTCTACATACCACCCACAGATCCCACCTCCTCCCTCCTCCCACCCTCCAGCCCTCCCTCCCAAGCCACCCCACATCCCCACATCCCCCAAATCA